TAAATAAAAATTGATTTAATAATTAACCAAATAAACAAAACCTGTGAATAAAAATATACAAACAAATAAATTAAATGGATAAAAAAATAATCTAACAGTAGGTAGAAAAAAAATGCAATGATGGAATGTAACATACACTATATATTTTAGAAACTATATTTTATACACATTTATACCAGTTACATTTTCACAGTATTATTTCGGTCTTTATACGTGAAAATGTACATTTTAGTGGCCACACATATATTTGGGTGGTCGTGGAATCTAAAAGATTGAAACCCCCTGTATTAACTGTACAACACTTAATTGTAGGCATTGTAAAATCATGATAAATAAAAATCTATTTATTTAAACAATGTAGGAAGCTTCCAGAAACATTCTGTCAAAACGTAATAGTTTTAATGTATTAAATACCTATAGTGAAATATAGTAGTATGATGACGCTGCACGTCAGCAGCCAATCAGCGAGCGAGAGAAACGCCTCACACGCGCGCGCGCCGTCAAGCCCACCTGGCACGCGCTTTGCTGCTCTTCTAATGCTTCTAATGTTCACAAACAAACACTGCCTATATTTCACGTCAACTTTCAGTGACAGACATAAACAGTTTGACACGCACAGCCTCGTTCAAATCTGCCTGATGTATACTTGACTGACAGATGACGTTATAGACACTCACACACTAGTATCCAAACACATTCAGCAGACTGACAGACTGACTGACTTAAACATGTCTTTAACACATGAAGATGTGCAAATGAAACGGCGACGCTTCAGATTAAGCTAATGTGAATAGCTCGTGCAGCTAATGTGCAGGCAGTGTAAACTGAACTACACGCCGAAGCCATTTAAAAAGTCTGTACTGCATCACTTCAGGTACATGAATCGCAAATAGATGAGTGGAATTAAGAAAATGTCAAAACTGGAATAATAATTTGAATGAAACGTCTTACCTGATTTGCTTTCGACTGTCTGTCAGGCAGCGGGCATATTTGTGATTGTGTGCGCATGCGCAGTGAGTATTGCCGTCACAGTGCACGCTGGGTGAAGAAGAGACTTTTACAGAGATATATAGACTAGTTATATATTAAATAGAGAAAGAGATCTGTATATCTAGTATCTATTTCATCTATCTATCTCTATATGTCTGTCCATCTATCACATTTTAATGATATAAAGATATAATAATAGAGGAATTTGTGTAAATGGTCATTCACAACCAGTCTAATCGATGGACATTGCTATTTAGTTCGCTATGATTATTCTATCAATATATTTATCTATCTTACCCAAAAATGCATGGATACTATACTCCATTACTAGAAAAATGAAAATCCCAGTGAAAGGCCATCCTGTATCAGCTGACCTGTTTACAGCTTTATGAGCATCTCACTGGCCAAAAGGTCGAGTCGTTCTGGTAATGAGACAACGGCTGGCCTTGTGCTCAACATCCTCAGACACATGACAGTCATTAAGATAACTCAATCAAGACTGCAGTGCTGCACGGACACAGTTCTTGCCTTCCTAGGGTTTATAGACTCGCACATAGGGTGACCACCTGCTAATAAGCCCAAGGGGGGACAAGGGGTATGTTTCTGAGGGACAATGTGGGACACTGATTGGCGCGGCGGTGCCCCCACCCCACGGGCAGACTCTGATAGTGGTTTACCCATATCTAGAACTGTTACTATTGCCTTACTGTTTGTACATGAATAATTGTTCAAAAAAAAAAAAAAGCACATACTGTACCTTACATACATTAATGCCCTATTCCCTAAACATGTGTAATTGCTGATATATGCTCATGATAGGCCAACCAATGTGTATTTTTTTTCTAAATAAAGATGAATATTTTGAACATTAAATGAATTGACAGATGCACTTCCACTTACGATTTACTTTAGCTATTTAATTTTATTTATTTTTCATTACAATTAATTCACTTTAAATAAATAAAAATTAGGGCTGTGCAAAAGTTAATTGCGATTAATCGCATCCAAAATAAAAGTCTGTGTTTACATAATATATTTGTGTGTGCTGTAGATAATTATTTTGTATATATAAATACCTATGCATGCATGTATATATTTAAGAATTATTTGCGCTTAAATTCTGTATATATTTATAAATACATAATCTATATTATAAAAATATAAATATTTGATATATGAATAACACATTTTCTTAAATATATACATGCATGTGTGTGTATTTATATATACAACATAATTATATACAGCACACACAAATATATTATGTAAACACAGACTTTTATTTTGGATGCGATTAATCGCAATTAACTTTTGCACAGCCCTAATAAAAATATAAAATTATAGGATTAACGGGAATCATAGTTGCTCAACACCACAGGAACAGTTTTAAAAAAAAAGTCGAAAAAAAGTCTAAACTCACAACTCCAGAGGTTCACGGAACGAGAAGCTGCGCTGTCATGACACCAATGAAAAAGTTGACATCAACCTAGTCAGCAGGTCACGTGGGAGTGGCAACCAGTCTTGGGGAAGTTCACTTTCTACATGAACTAGTTCAAAGTTCAGTTCACACATTTTAAAATGAACTAGTTCAGTTCAAAGTTTGCACAGAAATGTAAGATTTTTCCCATTTTCACCGACCTCGTTACAAAATCCGTTTAAATTATCATACGACGCCTTTGTCGACGGCGGCCGCGGTGCGACACTGGCGGCTTGTGTTGCCAGATTGGGTGTTTTTTCGCTACATATTAAGCCCCGTTTACGGTGAGTTTTAGCCGGGTTTTCACCTGGAAGGCTCTATAGAAATCTGGCACCCCATTGAGCGTGCGTTCACAGACACCAGAGTGAACGAGTTCCCACGTTCATCAGGACAGGCAGTAAAACAATACGTCCACTTCACCCAAAATATGAACGAGTTCATTAACGTGAACGTGTTCAGGCACTAGGTTTGGCTGCCTGGGTCTCGAGGATATAGACTGACCGACTTTTTATTTATTTATTTATTTTTATTTTTTTTCAGCAAGCATTGATTATGCGTGACACGGTCTCAATTTGCGGGACGCATGAATTGGGCTTCAAACGCTGTGCGCGCACGCGCTACGCGGGACGGGTGGTCACCCTACTCGCACAACTCTGTGTTCACCTTTAAATGACCAAGAAATAGGTATACCACTACAATAATTCACTAAAAGCGTCATATAATCTAAAAATATGTCATGATATTTACAGAAATTAGGTTAAATAGTTCTGCCATTATGGATGCGTGGTTGACCAGCAGTTAATATAATCCAGCATCATACATAATGATTATGCAAGATCATGCATGGCTAATGAGGAACAAGGACAACAAGAAAGCAACTCCACACTTGAATGATTGATTAGTTATATGTTAACCTTCAAAAGCAGATACATAATTTAATATTGCACTTATTCAATTACCTGTTTGTCTGCAAATAAAGGGTCTTGGTACATTCACTGTTATTCACATTTTAGAGATTTGAGGCTGCAACAGCACATTAGCTGATGGACCGGTTTGATTCTCAGGCTTAACACATAAACATGAATAAACATAGATGCACTCCTCTGCAGCAAAAGCAACTGTTACATCACATGACATTAGCATTAACAATCTCATGCTTTTAGATTATCACAGGCACATTTAAATAAAGTCAAAGACATCAACGGTTTCTTAAAATTATTCAAAGATGTTCGTCAGAAAACTCAATAGCATTGAGGATAATGTGCTAAGATGTAAACTGAAGGTAATTTATTTAAGGATAAATTGAGCTTGCAATTCTACACCACTATCTGATTCTGTCAAATAAAAAAAAAAGATAGTCAAATATAATCTACGGCTGTAAAACATTTGACTATTATTTTCCTACATTTCATTTTCATTTACAACTTTCAACTGTAAGAAACAGACCCAGAATATAGAATAAAACAAGATGCTATTTTCATGTTTGAATTCAGTGACTTTCCCATTGATTATATAAGCAATAGGGGGATTCTTATACCAGGGTACATGTGCTTAAAGGGATGGTTCAGGATTTTGAACATCGGGCCTAGTGTTATTTATCAGTGGAGACATTTTTCAAAAATTTTCATTCAGTCGTTCCAGTTCACAGTTCGCCGGTGCTAGGCTAGCGCGAGTCAACGATAACTGCTAGCCTGCCATTAAAAACAGTAGAGTACACAAAAAGCAAATAGATTAAAACGCCAGACTCGATGTAAATATCTGTTAAGAGAATAATGTTTAAAATAAAACTACTCTTGCGTCTCAATGACCGCAATATATTTGCTTTACATTACTTTAATGTATGAAGATCAAATTGAATGTTTCCTTATTGTTTGCACAACCAAGAATAAACAGTTTTTTAAAATGGACGTTTCGAACATTCAGAAATGACAGGAACGTTAGCAAAATGCTAACATACTTTTGTTAGCTAGTTTACCCCATTTACTCACCCTCGCCTCGAGCCATCCTAGGTCTTTCAGGCAGCCGAACTCGGAGTTAAATATCCTTCCAAGTTTTATAATTGTGAACGGTACCTCTTTTTTGAAGATTTTGAAGCCATAAAACACATCCATCCATCATAAAAGTGCTCTAGTGAGTTATAAAGGCCTTCTGAAGCAAAGCCATGCGGCTTTGCATGAAAAAAATATTTAACTTTATAAACTATAATGACTTGTTATCTTTAACACTTTATCTATAATCACTTGTTGTCTTTAATGATGGATGTGCTTTTTTGGGCTTCAAAATCTCATTCACTCCCATTATAAAGCTTGAAAGAATGAGTCGGATCATGGCTTGAGTGTGAGAAAATATGAGATTAACTCATTTTTGTTCATTTTATGTCTCAATACATTTTGCAACACTTAGTTTCCTGTTATGTTGAAAAAATCGGCACTGTACTATATTAATAAATGTGACTTGACTTTTGCATAACACCCTTACTGATAACCACTATAGGAGGAGGTGGAGCGTTGCGGTGGGACGGTTGTAGTGTCTTTTGCATCTTTATCTTCCCCTGAGAACAGCTCGTTTCTACAACGCCATCAGACCTCTTGTAGAGCAACCGCAGTTTCACGATGAATAAAGCAAAGTTCACTCCGTCCTCCCTGAAGAGTTCCCGTGGCGCGCTGCACCTGGCGCAGATCGTGGTGTGTGTGGTGACGTTTGTGGTGGGCTACATCTGGGGTTACCCGTCACACACCTACTGGATCTACTGCATGGTGATCTGGGGTTTGTGTCCCGTCATCACACTGGTCATCACCATACTGGAGATGTTCCTCATCCACAAGCTGCTGGCGTTATGCATGGACTGGGACGACTTCACGACCGGCATGGCCATGATGTCCTCGCTCTGCACGTTCTCGTGCACGGTGATGTGCGCCAACTTCTACATCTGCCGGAAGTGCATCTGGGGCTGGATGGTGACGATCCTCTCCGCGGTGTGTTGCGCACTTTACTGCCTGGAGACGTTCAAAGATAAATGTGATGCGACGCGCTCTGCAACATATGTAGCTGCGCTTCCTGGCTTCATTAAGATTCTCGAGGCCTTCGTCGCCTGCATCATCCTCATTTCCCTCATCGGTTATGTGGGTAAACCGGCTCTGCTGTGGTGCATCGTGGCCTACGTCATTCCTTTGCCTCTAACCCTCCTGATCATCATCACCAACATCTTGACCAAGATAAGGAACTGTCTGCCCTTCAGCATTGATCGCTTAACCATGCTTTTCCTGATTATATCGGTTCTGTTGTACATCTCTGCTGCAATCCTCTGGCCCATCTACAGCTTCAGAGGAAACCCGCGGCCCAAAGACTGTCCAGGGCACAGCTGCGTATGGGGCATCCAGTTTGTTGTGACCTTCATGACCTATGTTAACCTCGGCCTGTACATCATTGACCTTGTCTTCACTTGCTGCGGAATTTGTGGATTTAGACGTTCTTAATAGTATCACCCCTACAAAAAGAGAGAGATTGGGTTCCCCTAAGAACCATTCATGGAAGAGTTCTTAAAGGGATAGTTCACCCAACAATTTAAATCAGCCCTTGATTTACTCACCCTGAAGCCATCTTAGACGTATATGGAAATTTTTCTTTCAGACGAATACAATCGGAGATATATTAAAAAACGTCCTGTCTCCTCCAGGGTTTATAATTAAAATTTGAAGACCAAAAAAGTGCATCCATCCATGATAAAAGTGCTCCATATGGGGATTAATAAAGGCCTTCTAAATGAACCAATGGGTTTTTGCAAGAAAAATATCTATTTATAACTTTAAAATCGAAAATAGCTAGCCATTTACTAGCCATTATAAAGCTTGGAGGAGACAAAACATTTTTAATATAACTCTGATTGTATTTGTCTGAAAGAAGAATGTCATATACACCTCTAGGATGGCTTCAGGGTGAGTAAATCATGTGCTAATTTTCATTTTTTGGTAAGCAGAGCTTTCTAATCATCTAAAAAACCTTTTTCCACTATAAAGAACGGTCTTTAGGAGTGTACGTTTCTATGTATTTTGCTGTCATAAAATGCTTGATTGTTCAAAATAAATGATTGTTTTTACCATTTGTGTTATTTCTATTTTAATCTATTGCACAAATCTATAAACACACAATTAGAGCCTCCAGAACAGACTGTAAGAAGCTGCGCATGTGTTCATGCTGGAGTATTAAAATGCATCAGTTTTAGGAGGACTAGAAAGAAACACACACACACACACACACACACACGTTAACATTCCATCAATGATGCATGCAAGAACCAGCGTCACATTTCATGAACCTGGTACTAAAAAATACCTTAAAACATGTAAAATATAAATGCATTTTTTTTAAAAAAAGGTATTCATGCTACTATTGGGCTATCTCAGCTTTTTTATTACACTAGTAACAATTTTAGCAGTATAGTTTTTTAACTGCAAGAAATACATATCTGCAGTTAAATTAAACTTGAAAATCAAAAGTGACAGTAACGACTTTAATGATGTTTTAAAAGTATTAAAATAATGTTTTTAAAACATTTCTTATGCAAGGTTTCCACAAAATATGACAACATTAATCATAATTTTGTCTTGAGCTGCAAGTCATCATATTAGAGTGATTTCTGAAGGATCGTGTGACACTGAAGACTGGAGAAATGATGCTGAAAATTCAGCTTTGATCACAGGAATAAATTACATTTTCAAAATATATTCAAACAGAGAATAGGGATTTTAAATTTTAAAAACATTTCACAATATTACTGTATACTGTATTTTGAACATAAGAGACTTAGCCTATATTAATAAGTAAATATAGCAGCATCATTATATTTGGGGGCCCTTGATATTAAATTGTTTGTAATATCTTAGTTTTATTCTGGTTGATAGTATAAAATATGCTGTAGGCTACTGCTGTACTCGTCGTTTACATAACACATGTGGGTGCACTGTGTATAATTATATATATATATATATATATATATATATATAAATACACACATATGCTTGTAAATATTTAAGATATATTTTCATACTCTATATAGATTTACATATAATTTATATTATATATAAATATTTTATATATAAATAATATTTTTTTTATTTTATATATATATGTGTGAGTAATATTACTGTATATAAATATATAATGTTTTCCTCAATTATTTCTACTCAACTTTGTCAATAATAGTAACTCGATCTACTTTTTTTCACTTAGCTACATATACTGGGTTCATTTTTTGGCTATATGTAATTGATTTCATCGCATTAAAAATGTATCTATATTTTTAATTGTAAAATTGTTTTATCAAAAAAAAAAAAAAAAAATTCTTGTTTTCATTCACTCACTAAACCAACTTGTCAGAGAGGTTACAACTGAAATGGGCTTTGAACCGAGAAAAGAAAGATAAGTCACACATACACACACACACGCGTTTATGGTGCGTGTAGTATAACGTACTCTACGACACTTTATCAATGCAAATCATGCCGTTAGGAGTAACTATCCACTTGAGCAGAGCTCACACAGTCACAAAGTGGTTTTGTGCATTAGATGAAGAACAATGTCACCGTGCAGCCTGAGTCTGGGTCAGGGTCTCCGGATCCTCGAGATGGTGTTCTGCGCGCTGGCCTTCATCATCCCGATGTTCCGCGGCTCCATGTCCAGTCCCTACGGGATCTGGTGCGAGTTCGTGTGGGTCTTCGGACTCGTCGTGGCTGTGGTGATCTTCGTTATCGAGAAATGCCTGGTGGATAAACTGATAGAGATCTTGGTGCTGAAGCACACGTGGGACGATCTCTCCTGCGGACTGACCCTTCTGTCATCCATCATGCTGCTATCCGCCTCTCTCATCTATAGCACTGTGTTTGTGTGCTCAACATGCATCGCGGATATGATTTGCGCCAGCGCCTCCATTCTGGCTTGTGTGGCGTACGTGTTGGACGGGGTGAAGTTGAAACTAAAGTGTCCTGAAGGTTATCTCTCCAGAATACGGGGAGTCCTGCGCTTCATGCAGGCGTTCGTGGCCTGTCTGCTCTTCACTGCGGTCTACACATGCTTTAAAGGGGTGGAGATCCGAGTCCCTGGTGGGTTGATCTGGTGCATTCTGGTCTACGTGGTGTGTTTTCTTCCCACCGTGGTGGTGATTCTCACACACCTGCAAAAGTGTGTGAACCTTCTGAAATGCTTTGACCTCAATAAATTGGAGCTGGTGTTTGACGCAGTGGCTGTGGCTCTGTACGTGTCCGCGGCCATCATCTGGCCTGTGTTTGGGTATAAAAACTATAAAAGAGACTCCAAATTCCACGAGACTCGCATTCATGATATCAACCTCGTCACTATCATGACGTATGTGAACTTGGGGCTTTACATCGCAGACCTCGTTTTGACATTGATTGTGTATTGTAAAAACAAGTAGATGTGCTATTTCACGAGAATGTTTTATTATTTCAATAATTCAAAGATAAAGTCTTGGTGTTTCATACAATACAGTGTCTTGCAGGGGAATTGTGTTTGATTTTTACCACAATATGGGAAAGAAAATGTCAAAAGAGGTACAATTTATTTGAACTCCAATCATTTCTGTCTTTCTTTCTCTCCATATATATATATATATGAAGAGTTCAGATGCAAAAGCCTCTATGTGCCATTTGAAATTTTCTTCTAGAATGATCATTTTTATCAAGCTTTTATATTTAAGTTCAGTGATTTCACTTAAATGGCAATGATAATTATCTATTAATTGTTATTTAAGTGAAATTACTGAACTTAAATATACAAGTTTGATAAAAATCGTCATTAAAGAAGAAAATTTCAAATGGCATTTAGAGGCTTTTGCATTTGAACTCTTCATATATATATATATATATATATATATATATGGAGAGAAATATCCATATTTATATATATATATATATATATATATATACTCTGCATTATGTATTCAATTCAATAAATAAATAATAATTATAAAGACTAATAAAATCTAATAAAATAAAAACAGCTCCTGCTAATAGTTGCAAACTGCTATGCAGTGATGTTTAAGTCATTTCTATTCTAAGGAGAGTTTATCTTAAAATGATTTTGTACACTATGTTCATCAGTGAAGGACGTAAAGACACTTTAGCAGGCAGCTGGATGTACTGTGTATATTTATATATATTGATATTATATTAAATGCATTCATCCTACTGTAAAAAAAAATCATTCTTATAAGCCTTGCATGGAAAAAACATCACATAACAAACATTACACTACTTGCAGACTTTCATTCAACACAAACTACTAATGTCTGTCTTTTACTGTCACTAGCACTAACTTACAAATAAAATCGAGGTTAAGTTTCGGTTCAAATATCCAGTTTTAGTTCTGTTCTTCCTCCTCGTTCATCTCCAGAAGTCCGCAGAAAGAAATGTAGTGAGCGTTGCAGTAAACCGGTGACTTGTTGGGGCTTTTTGGCAGCTGTTCAGGTTTCAGAGAACTGAAGGGGTTCGGGCCGGAGTCCTTAACATTCATCTCCAACTCCACGAATATCTGAAGAGAACTCTGCAGCTCTGCTTCACTGAAGATAGATAGATAGATAGATAGATAGATAGATAGATAGATAGATAGATAGATAGATAGATAGATAGATAGATAGATAGATAGTAAAACAGTAGTTATTCTCAGATATGGAGTTCTGCACGTGTGAATGTTTATTAGTCATAAGTTATAACATACTTGATCATGGTGAATAAAGTGGGGATATTGTAATCTCGCAGCAGCAGGAGCGTCGCCAACCAATCCTGACCCACTTCCTGTCCCTCAAACCCTGCAAACAGAGTTCATAATCCATGAAGCTCAATCACAACAGTGATATAAGAGGGAATCGTGAGTACACAGCTGTTCAAAAGCTTGGTCAAAAAGATGTTTTGAAAAAAATGTGAATACTTTTAATCAGCAAGGATGAAAAACTACAAATATATGAAGCAGCACAACTGTTTTCAATGTTGATAATAATCATAAATATTTCTTGAGAGCAGTAAATCAGAATATTTAAATGATTTCAGAAGATCATGTGACACTGAGGACTGGAGTAATAATGCTAAAATAGAAGATTTCTCACAGTATTACTGTATTTTTGAGTACATTAATGCAATCTTACCAACCCCAAACTCTACACTTGTGCACGCCTGTGTTTCCGAGGTTAGTTTGTACCTGGGTGAAATCCAACCACTAGATCCGGTTTGGCTGCTTCTCCTTTCTCCACAACTTCCTCCCAGAACTGGTGGTAAAGGCCCTTGTAAGCGCTGATGTAAACTCTTTCCCGGGGTCCGAACGCCCTCAGCGGAGGCCTCATGATGGGCCCCTGGACGACCTCGGGCCCCACCATCACCACCTCCAGCCCCTGGTGCCCCGGGAACATGCGGCTGAGCTCGTCCATGTCGGACACTCGGGCTCCCAGCGTCTCGTTGTGACCGGCTCCGACCACGTGGATGGTGAGGGGCCGAGCGTACGGGTCCAAGTTAAACATCCTCAGTCCCATTCCGACCGTCAGCGGCCGAGAGAAGAACTCGCTGCACACCCGCCACACAGACTCGCGAAGCTCCGCCTCCTCGGGCCTCGGCCTGCAGCCATTGGTCCAGAGATCTGTCATGTTTTTCCCGGACAGGATCGGCTCCAGACGGGGTGTCAGATCTCCTTGCATTGACAACCAGTCCTTCCAACAACTAACTTTGTTAGCAGGACGAGACCACACCTCCGTAGGGAAAGGAAGATCTCCTATTGGATATTAGGAATGAGTTGAAATAAACATGGGTTGTGCTAAAAAGACTTTCTCACCCTCACCTTTAAAAAGGATCCACTCGACGTGTCTGTCCACCCCCGCCATGCACAGTTTGTTGCAGTAGAGTTTGTGTTGAGGCCAGTCTTTCTTCTGACAGTCTTTACTGCAGTAATACACATTCAGACAGCTGCGCAAGACAGAGATATAGATGCGATTATAGATGTGAGATATTACATCCTCTTCATAATCATCACGTCACTGTACCGTGTGCATCGCTTGAGCGAACCCGGGACCTGTGACGGGAGTCTCTCACATCGCGCACATATTTTGTATGATTCCTCCATTTTCTCAAACATCTCCTTCGTTGAGCGGAACGCAAGAGGCTTATTGGCCTTGCTCTGTGAAACACTGGAGAGAGAGAGAGATGCAAATGAAAGCTGAAAATTCAGTTTTGCATCACAGGAATAAATTACATGGGAGAATATATTCAAATAGAAAACAGTTATTAAAATCGTGATCATATTTTGCATTATTACTGTTTTTTGGATCAAATAGCATAAGAGACTTCTTCGAAAAATTTTTTAAAAATCTTACCGACCGCAAACTTTTCAACAGTAGTGCATTTATGTCCAAACTCTACAGTATATTTTGCACAAATTAATATGTTGTGTCACAGCATTAGACAAATTAGACAGATGAAGCTCAAAAACAAGACGCAAAACTATATGGCAAGCCGTTTTAGCTTTTGTTCATTTCAATTCTTAAGATCAAAAAAATTAATTGTTGATATGTGTAATTGTATTTTCACTAGTAGAAATATCATTTTTTATATCAATAATTACATTGTTACTAGTAAAAATGTGAATTCCTGATATCAATAATTAAATTGTCATTAGTTGAAATGTCTATTCTTGATATCAACAATTCATTTGGTACTAGTAAAAATTTAAAATGTATTTCTGATATCAATATTATTTCAGATATCTAAAATGGCTTTCTTACTAGTAACAATCACATTCATGATATCAGAAATTAACATTGTCACTGGTAAAAGTTCAATTATTGATATCAAAAAATGAACTTTGTTACTAGAAGCAATTCAGTTGTTGATATCAAGAATAGACATTTCAACTAGTAACAATTGAATTCTTGATATCAAAAATAAAGGTTTTTACTAGTAATAATTGTATTTCTGAAATGTAAGAAATCAATTCTTGACATCAACAATTGGTTTTGAATGGCAGCCTATGGTGACATTTCACTAGTGAAAATAAAATTTTTGATATCAAGAAAATCAAGAATTGAATTGTTGATATGAAGCATTCATATCCTGGAAATGAATAAAAGCTAAAACGGCTTGCCATAATACTATACATTTTGTATACGTCAAATTAAACATGACATGCACAACATAAAAATACAGGTTCACTTGCTGTAAGATTATGAACATGGTATGTTTTGTGCAGTGAATTATTAATACAAGAAACTGGTTAAATTTAAGTGACATTTAGAAACAAAAGACTCAATTCATGTGTATATGTTTGGGCCTTTGCAGTTCATGTTAATATTGATAAAGTTCACTATAAACTTTGGCATTGGAAACGACTACTGAATGTGAACACAGAGAGAATCAGCTTGTGTAGTGTTATTAATGGCCTATTCTTGGTTTGCAAACCCCTGCTCTTTTAATAAAAAACAAATGAAGCAGTATAAATATTATTAATGCATAAACAGCAGATTGTTCTGTATTTGATTTAATTAGGCTACTAAACGAGCATTCGTGAGTCCGGAGTGGATGAAGAGAAGCACAGACAGCTGCTGGGATATTTATATCACATCTCAAAATATCCAGCATGCAGTGACAGACAGCTGAGACAAACGTTTTAAGACACACAACTTCCTTAATGCACGAATACGAGCACATGCAATCAACAAACACATAAAGAAATAACCATGAACGACTAAATTATAAACTTTTGAACTATTTCAATAAATAACTAATAATAATATTTTACATCCATGTCTGCTTAGTGACTAAAAACTTTTAAGTTTTACTCATAAACTCATAAATTTTTAAAAGTGCACGTGTGTCAGTGCATAAGGTAAATTTATGAATCCAGAGTGGAATGGATCACGTGACCTCGCCTGTCTTACAGTGAAGTACTACACACTTTATTCACAGTGATATTACAGTCAGAGGATGGTTTTAAAACGTGGGTCTTACCTGCTGGAGTCGTTCATTGTTTACGGTCACACGTTGACAGATGAAGTGAAGCTGAGACGCTGTTAGTTTGAGTTTGTGGGTGTGTGTGTCGTGTTTTATACCCGCGCGCGCCTGTGTGCGAGTGTTTTTTCTGGAGTCTTCTGGGAGAAGATGATTCTCGGGGTGTCTACATTATCATCAATCTCACACTCGATACTGTTATTATACATATACATAATAATAATTATGTTATTATTAAGCCCCCTTTTGCGCTTTCAATGACAGACAGACACGTTTTTTAATTAGCGTATAATTTATTAGCTTCAGAATACTACTTTAATATCAAATACATAATCTAAATTAAAACAGGGATAACACAGTCTGACACAAGTTCAAAACAGACCGTTTGTTTTAAAATTAAAAGCTCATAATTAAAATAATATAAAATCATATGAGCGAATAAAGAAAATGTCGTGGCAGATTTAAGCACTAGGGGGCGCTACAGTTTAATAAATTGCGCTGCAAGCAAATAACAGCAGTTTTAAATTAAACATTTGTTTCTTGAAACATTTCTTAAATTAAATACTATAATCGCATAATAAACTGTAATATTTTCCTTTTAGTGTGTGAGCCAGCCCGTATCCAGTCAACACGCTTGAGGTAGCCTAATCCATTTATTTCCATACATGATTTTGTCCAAAGAGAAATTAAAAATAAAACTGACAACCTACCACCATGTGGTTGAAAAATGTGTTTTACTGACAGGCATCTTGGGCTGACTACTAAATCCCTTAAAGCAGGACCCCACAGGTTTTATGAAGGTGCAGTGACCGGTTTGTAACACTAGGGAGAGGTATTCAGCTCAAAGAAATAACAAAAAGGTAATAGAAATTCATTCCTCTCATTAAATAGACAAATATTCGACTCTTATTCCAATAGACAACTGAAAGGAAATTAAGATGGCTCTAACAGGGTATTATTTGTGACTTTTTAAAGATGTGACTGATCTCCAAAGGCTTTAGTGAGAAACGCTCTCAGAAAGCAAAGGTCTCTGTAAATCTACTCTTCCTCCGGTTGCAGACCCTGAAAGTAAATATAAAAAGCGTTGCAGTAACTGGGGGGTTTGTTTGGGCTGGACTGGACCTGCTCGGGTTTCTGGGAGCTGAAGGGATTCGGTCCGGTGTCTTTAACGTCCATCTCAAGTTCTTTGAGAATCTGCAAGGAATATTGCAGCTCTGCATCACTGCAACACAGAGACACAGTAGAGAAGATGACTGACAGTAATGGACAGTATTTCTGAAACAACCATAGGAAGAACATGTTCATATTCCAGGATGATTCATCAGGCTCAGATTGTGAAAGAATGGTTGTGAGGAGCTCGAAGAATCATTTTCTCACATGAATCCAGAGCTTAAATTCACTGAAGTCTTTGGGATGTGCTGGAGGAGACTTTACAGATCTCGATGGAAATAACATCACAAGATTTATTTACATCAATGAAATTAATTTATTTCCTGATGAATCCTGACAATGTCATCCTGGAATATGAACATGATGTTCTTACATGATTGTTTCAGAAATGAAAAGCTACACACTCTTTCAGTTAGAGTTAAGAACGGTTGCCACACATATAACATGTTAGAAACATAATCACTACAATAATGATCCAATCATAGAGTCTGAAGCATTTAAATCCAAACAGTGAGTTGTTTTCCTTGGTCAGGCAGTGTTGTTCAGAGCTATATGTATTAGTAATATGTATTCTGACTTATTCTCCTCGCAATTCTGAGTTTCAGAAAAAAATCAAAAATGCGAGTTTGTATCTTGTACGTCTGATTGTGAGATCTAAACCCAGAATTGCAAGGAAAAAGTCAGAATTGGGAGCTAAAAATCTGTTCTTTTAATATATATTTTTTGCAATATGTTGCGAAAACAAGCATCCACTTTCTAAGACGTAGGCTCCGCCCTTTTTCCGACTCTCTGATTGGTGTAATTTTATACAAGCGACTTGCATTGCACTCAATGCATTTATTATTTTAACGCACCCCCTGGAATCAAACCCAGGGGTCCTTGGGTTGGGTAGCATGAAAAAAAAAAAATCTTATTTCAAAACTCTGGAATATGCATGCATGTAAACACTTAATTGGAGTATGTCTGTGCGTCACCTACTTGTACATAGTGAAGACGGATGGGATGTTGTAGTCTCTGAGCAGCAGTAAGGTGGGCAGCCAGCCCTCTCCTAACCCCTGAGACGCATGAAACCCTGCATGAGATCAGCAAGAAGAGAGGACAGTCAGGCGCTGACACATCCATCAAACCACACACAGAGAGTTTAGCTGGATAATCTCTGTCTCTGCTTTATGATTGATAGTGAGTATATCCTCGCTTCCCAGATTAGATGTGTTTGGATATGAGCAGATTTAAAGTTGACAAGCGCTGTCAAGGACTTAAGAGCAGCGGTGTGTGTTTGTCACTCATGCATGAATTTGACTTGGTTTTCAGCATGATGATGTACTAAGTGACTCACAGTTTATTTATTACAGAGATAATCCTCAGTTAGAGCTCATCTTCCATCTGATCTGTGAAAATGCTGATGTTTCTGCTAAAATATTGTTTAAATAAGTTGTCCAGTCTCTTCGAACATGTCCGTGTGCATGTGACTGGTGTGTCATTCTGGTAAACTGCTCAGGAATCTCTCAAACTCTCATCTGTTATATAAATCATCACTGCTTGTTAAGGTCCGGCACCTGTCTACAGAGTGAATCTCCCTAAGAGAAACGCCCGTCTGATGCTATAGATGGAAACTAAACCCCTCACTGGAGCTCAAGGGGTCAAACGTCTGAACACGAAGACAACAGGACTAGAGAAAGTCAACTCTCTCTCAACGCCTCACTGCACAAAACAAATAATCCATATTTATTTCAATAAACTGGTTAAAAAAAGACTTGCTGAGTTTTTGCCTGTTTTTTTTTTTTTGGTAGTGAAATATTTAATTAATGCTAAATTAACAATCCTACCCATCTCCGCCCCCTGATCCCTAACCCCACCCCTAATCCTACCCATCTCCGCCCTCTGATCCCTAACCCCACCCCTAATCCTACCCATCTCCGCCCCCTGATCCCTAACCCCACCCCTAATCCTACCCATCTCCGCCCCCTGATCCCTAACCCCACCCCTAATCCTACCCATCTCCGCCCCCTGATCCCTAACCCCACCCCTAATCCTACCCATCTCCGCCCTCTGATCCCTAACCCCACCCCTAATCCTACCCATCTCCGCCCCCTGATCCCTAACCCCACCCCTAATCCTACCCATCTCCGCCCCCTGATCCCTAACCCCACCCCTAATCCTACCCATCTCCGCCCCCTGATCCCTAACCCCACCCCTAATCCTACCCATCTCCACCCCTGATCCCTAACCCCACCCCTAATCCTACCCATCTCCACTCCCTGATCCCTAACCCCACCCCTAATCCTACACATCTCCGCCCCTGATCCCTAACCCCACCCCTAATCCTACCCATCTCCACCCCCTGATCCCTAACCCCACCCCTAATCCTACACATCTCCGCCCCTGATCCCTAACCCCACCCCTAATCCTACCCATCTCCGCCCCCTGATCCCTAACCCCACCCCTAATCCTACCCATCTCCGCCCCCTGATCCCTAACCCCACCCCTAATCCTACCCATCTCCACCCCCTGATCCCTAACCCCACCCCTAATCCTACCCATCTCCACCCCCTGATCCCTAACCCCACCCCTAATCCTACACATCTCCACCCCCTGATCCCTAACCCCACCCCTAATCCTACCCATCTCCGCCCCTGATCCCTAACCTCACCCCTAATTCTACCCATCTCCGCCCCCTGATCTTTAACCCCACCCCTAATCCTACCCATCTCCACCCCCTGATCCCTAACCCCACCCCTAATCCTAATCAAATGTCACTTGTTATTTTATTATTTATTTTATAGCATTTAATAATATTTTGCTTTATTTAATTTCTATTTCAGTTTTAGTCACTTTAGTACTTATTTCAGCAACAAAAAAAAGTGAATGTAATATTTATATTTTAATTTATTTCAGCAAACCTGTACCTGGGTGAAATCCAACCACTAGATCCGGTTTGGCTGCTTCTCCTTTCTCCACAACTTCCTCCCAGAACTGGTGGTAAAGGCCCTTGTAAGCGCTGATGTAAACTCTTTCCCGGGGTCCGAACGCCCTCAGCGGAGGCCTCATGATGGGCCCCTGGACGACCTCGGGCCCCACCATCACCACCTCCAGCCCCTGGTGCCCCGGGAACATGCGGCTGAGCTCGTCCATGTCGGACACTCGGGCTCCCAGCGTCTCGTTGTGACCGGCTCCGACCAGATGTACGGTCAGAGGCCGGGAATACGGGTCCAGACGGGACATTTGAATCCCGAGGCCCACCGTCAGCGGCCGAGAGAAGAACTCGCTGCACACCCGCCACACAGACTCACGAAGCTCCGCCTCCTCGGGCCTCGGCCTGCAGCCATTGGTCCAGAGATCTGTCATGTTTTTCCCGGACAGGATCGGCTCCAGACGGGGTGTCAGATCTCCTTGCATTGAGACCCAATCATCCCAACACCTGACATCTTTAGCGGGACGAGACCACACCTCCGTAGGGAAAGGAAGATCCCCTATTGGACCACAGGGTGAATGACAGAATACTACTTAGCAACCACTCACGACTCCCTAGCAACCCCATCCGCTGTTCTCTCTCACCCGTGTGAACGAGCCACTCCGCCAGCCTGTCGATGGACACCTTGTGCAGCGTTTTACAGAACTTCTTATGCAAAGACCAGTCTTTCCTCTGACAGTCTTTACTGCAGTAATACACATTCAGACACCTGACACAAACACACACGTTAAACAGTTACATATTACGTAATGTCATTACGAGTCGGGGTTTCAACAGACGGATTAAAAGGTCTGTGCTGTTTTTAGAAGCTGCCCTCATCATTTCACTACTTTAAGTTTTTATTGTGGTGGCGCATCATGTGGTGTGTGTGACCTTGTCGTAAACATTGCTCCTCTGCACAAAGGCTAAAAAAATCGGATCGGGTTTTATGAGAACAGCCGGCACATACAAAAGGAGACGTAACCGACTATGTTAAGATGATATATCTAATAATAGACTGTATATTAAAAAAATACAATATGTTGTATATTTTATTTAACCGAAACTTAACTCTTAGTAGTCTGACTATGCACACACTCCCCGGCTAATTATTGCAGTGATTAATAATGTGTGAAAATGAGCCTTTCACAATCTGAGCCTGATGAATCTGGACATTGTCATCCTGGAATATGATGTTACACACACACACACACACACACACACAGTGAGCTGACACTGGGGTGCTGTTCAATGAACAGTCTGCTATTTTTAGCTGAATGTCTGCGGTCGGATCTTTGCAGTGTCTTATTCTTCTAAACCAGAACGGTGTGTAAATAAAATAAAGCTAAATTTTGAGTGTGTAAACTAATAAATTAGTAGCAAAAACAGGGTTGCAATGGCTACAATATATTTTATACTAGGATTTTACGACAATTAAACTGAGCTTACTTGCTTAATAATTTTGTGGTTGCTATGATTTTAACAAAAAAATCGCAGCTGATTGGTAATGTAGCAAAACAATGCTGCAGTCAATATGGTTTTTACTACAAGTATCATAGTTAAATTATGGTTCCAGTTATGTTTTGTGATTATTACTGTGATTATGTTTTTACTACAAACACCATAGATACAAACGGGTTGCAAACTTGATGAGTTGTTTCATAGTTCATCATTAGTGGTGCTGAGGTATTAGCATGAGGGTTGGGTTAGCGTGTTAGCACATAGGTGTTAACATCTGGCATGAGATTTTTATGTATGTTAATAAGCGGGTGATAATGTCTTCAGGAGGAAAGTGATCCGCTACAGCAGAGACGGCAACAGCTGTGTGGGATACAGGGATTATTGAGACTGGAGTGACCAGACGTCCCTGTTTTTGCTGTTTTGTCCCTGTTTTATAATCAAAACACTCCACAAAAACACTGCAAAAGCCTGACCGACGTGACCTGCTGGTTACCTGGAGCCCCGTTTCACCACATAAGAAAATAATCATGCTTTAGTAAATATTAATTGTGAAATAAAAATTATAAATATGATTCAAATATGAGATCAATATATAATTTCACTTTTTATGGCATAATCATTTTTTCTGTCATAATTATGATGGTTTTGCTTAATTTTGACTGTGATTTGGACTTTTTATGCCATAATTTAATACAAAATTTAAAAACTTAGACTTTTTAAAGTAATAATTATGATTTTTAAAGTCATTTTTTATGTCAAAATCATGACTTTTTGTGTAATGATTTTGACTTTTTAAAGTAATTATTATGATTTTAAAGTCTTAATTTCCTCTTGTCTTGACTTTTCAAGCCAGAATATTTGTACTTTTTGTCATAATATTGACTTTTCAATGTTGTAATGTGCTAATTAGTTATATAAAGCGAATCATTATTTTTGTAATGATTTGCTATTTATGTCATAATTTCAACTTTGTATGTCATAATAATGATTTACAAAAGCTTGATGTTTTTCCTCATGGGGTGAATTTGGGCTTAGTTACCAGAGCAGTGGTGTTAAAAAGTCAACGAGTCCCATGTGTTCCCCTTCTTGTCATCTGTGCTGGACACTCACTTGATGCAGCGTTTGAGCGCTCGAGGATCAGGAAGGTTGGATGGTAGTTTGGAGCAGCAGGCACAGAATTTAAACGTGTCTTCTAGATTTTGAAACATTTCTTTGTAAGAGCGAAAGCCCACCTTTCCTTTTCCCTCCAATGCTGCCCTGAGAGAGAGAGAGAGAGAGAGAGAGAGAGAGAGAGAGAGTGACAACATCTGAAGGCTACAAACACTCTACATTTCCCACTATGTGTGTTCCTCATCACCTGTAATCTTTGTAGTCTTTCATGTTGAGTTTGTCTAAGATGACCTTAGAAAGTCCAGGAACGTTACAGTCCAGAGAGTAAAAGCCGAACTGATCCGAGTAAACGCTGCTTGAAGTCGGAGTGAACGAGTGTGGGAGCACTGGATCCGGATCAGCCATCGTGGACGACGTCTTCACACGAGAGCTTCTGTTCAGTCTGTTCATTCACATATCAGCCATTATTAATGATACTGTGGCCATACAGTAACACTCATTCTGTCATATTTCAATTAAAAACGAAAAGAAAACAATTAGAATTTGCTAAATAAAACACACATGAGGACCATTACTCTAAACAATGCTGGGTTGTTTTAATTGGGTCAAATACAGACAAACCCAAATGTTGGGTTATAAATGTAATTTAACTTTAACTTTCAACTGGACATTTTTTTTTTCAAACAAAACATTTGGGTTTGTCCATATGTGACCCATATTTGTGTTGAAACAACCCAGCAATGTTTAGAGTGTATGTTTTTTTTCCAAAAATATCAGGAGTCAACTGTGAAAATCATATTACTATAATACAAATAAGTAAATATGAAATAATATATCCATAAAATTATATATATATATATATATATTGTTAAGTACATTTAATTAATTTATTATTTGTGGTTGAGCCTATAAAGTTTGGGGTTGTAAATTTTTTTTTTATTGCTCGCCAAGGCTGCATTTATCTGATTTAAAACACAGTAAAAATATGAAATATTATTATTATTTAGAATAACTGTTTTCTATTGTAACATATATTAAAATGTAATTTATTCCTGTGATCAAAGCTGAATTTTCAGCATCATTACTCCAGTCTGCAATGTCACATGATCCTTCAGAAATCACTCTAATATGAGGATTTAATGCTCATTTCTGATGATTATCAATGTTTAAAACAGTTGTGCTGTTTCATATTTTACTGGAAACTGTGATGAACATTTATTTCAGGATTATTTGTTGAATATAATGTTGAAAGAACAGCAATTTTTTTTGGTAACAATGTGAACATCTTTACTGTCACATTTGATCAATTTAAGTCAAATCAATTTAGTCCATTCTGAATAAAATTATTAACTTTTTCCATTCATGTTTGTTTTTATGAAACATTTCTTTGTGAATGAATTGCTCACAACATTATCATAACTTTTACATCTGATTAATAGAACAATTTCTCCTATAGAAGTGAATCCTTGACATTAGCCTAAAAGGATCAAAGCGAACGCTTATAAAGACATGAACAAACATGATAATGATACACGGCAATATTTCACATCAGAAACTCACAAACAAAGACATCAATCTTCCAAACCACGCAAGAGACGGAGAGTGAAAGAGAAGTTTTATCACGTCAAATTATTTCTAATATATTTATATACCTGCGTAATATAACCTAAGAGAAACTACCACTGCAGAAAATACCTATAAATATGATAGTTATAACATCAATACTCACAGAGACTGTGATCTGCAGTTCATGAGAAGACTGGCGATGTCTGCCTGTTCTTCACAGTAACTGCACCTCTCTTTCACTCACTCATCCCTCTCTCCTTTTTTGGGATGAGGGGAGAGACGGACGCTCGTCCAGGTTGAGGGAACGTGTTCAATTACCCAGAATCCCCTTCCCCCCGAGGCTCTAGAGTTTCCTGAAAAGTGCCCGATCACTCGTCGTGTCGCCCGGTCTCCATGCCCTGATCCCCGGGAAGGAACTGGCGGGGTTTTAATGTCAATAGATGTCTGCTGGATTTGCTTAAATGCATTTTTATAAGTTCTGGGTCATTAACAGATATAATTCTATATGATTTTTTTGTAATTATTTAATTAAACATTTTTTTTCCATATATATATATATATATATATATATATATATAAATAATATATAGGCCTAGACTGTATAAAAAAAATAATAATAATATATATATATATATAGGCCTGTGGAAAAATAATACTTTTATATATTTAATTGTTTTATTTATTTTCACTATTTCATCATGTAACTACATTTTATTTATTTAATCATTTTTCATTATTTCTTTGTTTAATCATAATTTATATTTACATATTCAATTATTTTGACTAAATACTTTATTCCCATTAAATATGATTATATATATATATATATATATATATATATACTGTATGTGTGTGTGTGTGATTTTTACATTTAATTATTTATTTTCCTTTTTTAAAATAGTTGTTATTGTTGTAAAGCACACTGGTAAAATTGTTATAAAGTATATATTAACAAAATATATATATAAATAACTTTACATTATGATCTAGGCTAATTGACATTTATATAATTAACCGGTAAGAATAGGCTACTAATTTTCACACCATATTAAGGATTTTCTGTGTTCAGTCAGTGTAAAGCAAAACAACTTGTAGAATAAACAAAATTGAAATGTAATTGTTTTTTTTTTTTAATAGAATATAATTCAATTTACACATCCTATGTCCTACTATATTTGAAAGAATTATATAGGATAAAAAAGTAACCTAAAGTTTGCAGTAATTGTAATTGAGATTAAAACACTTTCATCTAGTTCAGAGAAAATGCAGAAATTAATTAAAATTGTAAGAAAAAAAATTCTGAAATGCACCGTTTCCTGAGAGTGACCCATATAAACGTCTGATCATGGCCTGTATAAACCTATTTGAGATGATGATCATAATAAACATACTGTCGGTCAATAAATAACAACATGAAATCAGCAACAACATGATCTAATGAACATCTTCCAGCTGTCCCTACATCACAATGGAAAAAACAGACACATCCGTCAGGAAATAAAATAATAAAAATCAGCAACTCACATGTTTCTTGATTAAAAAATAAAGAAACAAAAAACAACTTTATTTGTCATTTGGTCCAACAGAACCTGAGATTGCAAATGAACCGTACAGATTTTTAGACTTTTATACATTTTTTTGTCCAAGAATCAATAAAATATTCTACATATTATACTCCCGCCCGACAGAGATCCGTATAATTACAGCGAGTACTTCAGATTGGATTGTGCAGAGGGGAACAGCGCTGTACAATTTACAAAAAGAAAGACAGACAACGAGTGTGACGTCACAAAAGACAGACAGAGAATGTGTGTGACGTCACACCAGAGCCACCAACAGAGGGAGACAATGAGCAACACACATCCAGAGGGGAAATACACACCGGTACTCAAGATGCAGAGACGCTGGACTGAACATCAGTGCACAGAGAGACTCGAGTCGACCAATCACATCCAGCACAGGTCGTCCAGCGGTGACATCATCATGCTCACGGGACCAAACTGATGACAGATCAGCTCGCAGCTCAACTTGTGCTTCCGCTTTACTAAAACGCATAAATTAAAAGATGGTTTACGCACGTAACGCGCCCACATAAACCCCTCGCACACGAGGCCTTCCACTGAAATCAAGTATGCAGATCATGTGACCCCAGAACAGTTTGCTGATTGGCTATCAGAATGGCGAGAAACCTAAATCTCACAAAACATGTCATGAGATTGACACACTTCACCGTAAGATTGAAGAAAGAATAAAGATTTAAATTAATTAAGGAAATTAAACATTTATGTTGGGCTGTTAAGATATTTTTGCCCCAAATTCAGATGAAATTATGCAAAAAATATATTCTCATTACTGAAATGTGGCAAAAAAACCCTGATAAAAATTATCATTTTTAACTTTTATGTTGTTCCTCCAGCAAGAAAAATCATACTTTATGATTTACAATCCAGCAAAAACACTGCATTCAAGTAATCTGAATCTAGTTAAAATAATTCGAAATAATAAAAATGATACGATTATCCAAAAGTGTGAATTTGTGGGAAAATGTGGTTAATTGCAATGGAAATAATCTAATATAATTGATACTACTAATAATAATAATAAAAATTAAGAAGTCTTAAAATAATGTGAATTTTAAGATGTGAAAATGTGCTGTTTTTTTTCTCCTAATATATAATGATTCAAGAAACAGGCTCCATTTAGCTTTTTTTTTTTTAATTTCATATTTTTCTTTTTGATGAATTGTTTTGTTTTGGGTGAAATGAGCCTCATGAAATATTTTCGTGAGATTCACTCTCTGTCTGAGCGCACGTAAAAGAAACTAAAAAGTGAAGTCAGCTGACAGGAGACGCAGGCGAGACTCCAGGAGCGGATCTGAATGACAGTTCATCATGACACGTGTGTGTGTGTGTGTGTGCAGGGGGCGGGTCTTGGCTCAGCGAGCAGACGTGTGATTGGCTCAGTAGTTCCACCCAGAACGTCTCAGTGCCTGCGTGTGCGTTCATCAGCACGGGTCTATGTGTGTGTGTGTGTGTGTTTAAGCGTGTGTCAAAGCGGCCGCGGTCTGTGCAGTCCGTCAGTGTCCGGGGTAAGTTGGGGCGAGTGTGTGGCTTTACTCGACGTCCAGTCGCCCAGAGACGCCTGCGCTGCTTTCCTATGGGCCAGTCTGTGTGTAATGGAGAACCCAGCGTTCCCCTCCAGCTGGGACAGGACCACCAGCACCTGCCTGAAACACACGGGTTAGTCTTAGAAAACACACAACACATGCACAGAAAGCACTTTTAGGCATGAAGGCTTTTCGAAAGTTAAGCAGCAACATTATAATGCATTATAATGCTGGTTTTAAGGCAGCATCACATGTTCATTTCACAGAAATTCACATTATTATGATAATGCAGACAAGTAGGCTAGAGTAAATACAGATGATAATAATATAAAATATGTATTTATTGCTAACACCAAAGTCAAAATGTACTTAATTGTCATAAGTGTAATAATAATGATAATGATGGTCCTAAAAACAGATATGATAATCAAAACATGTTATTAAGTTATCTTATTATCATTACACATCTTTAATATTTTTTTCACTCTACTCTACTAAACTGAAGCTCAAGAGTATTATTATGAATGATCTTTATTTAAGTGTTGATTGAAACGGAAGAACTTAAAGCATGCGAATGACCGGAGGGAGATTCGGCTATGAATACTGCAGAGGTGAAAACCATGTGTCATGTGACTCTCGCTGTGAACAGACCTGAAATAAAAACACTTCCGGAACTAACAGGACTAACATTCACAATGTTTTCATCTGGAGCTGGAGGAACAACGGCCTTTTCTCGTTCCTGCTGCTGTCAAATAAAAGGAAGCCTCGAGCCGAGCAAAACCACACATGAAAAATAGCCATTGGCTAATTCTGGTGCATTTACAGAAATGTTTTATTAATGTGCAACGTCTCTGTTAAATAAACAAATAAAAAAAGAATTGATGTTTCCGCAGAGTTCAGAAAGGCGAAGTGAATGACTTTCAGTGCACAGTGTGTGTGTGTGTGTGTGTGTGTGTACCTGTGCAAGGGCGGCACGCTGTCGATGGTCTTCAGGCTGCCTCGGGTCGACACCACATTGAAGCTGTCAGTACAGTCACATGACACATGGAGGTAGTACTTCGGGTGACGGTTCTCCACGACGACGATAAGCCCCGCCCACCCGTGAGTCAGGTAGTAACATGTCATCCCTTCACGACCCTTAGACATGAGATCAAGACATCACATCATCAAACTGCCCATCCTTGGCGTTTGCCAAGTATAATTAATAAAATAATGATATTTATATTATATACAGAGTATATAATACACACACATACTATACATTTATTATAAACATAAACAATAATATAAAAAATATATAATTAGTTATTAAAATATTAAAATTAAATATTTTATATTATTTATTTGTATTATACGCATTTTTATTATTGTATATTATTGTTTATTTTATATTAAATATATATATATATATATATATATAATTATGATTAATACTATAATTTATGTGAATGACGTGTATAATTTATGAATATATTAATTAAAAACATTTACTTAATATATAATAAAATGTAAATAAAATAAATAAATATTTTTATATTCATATTTTTATATAATGTATATAAATCAAAGTATATACAATAATAAATAATACCATATGTATATTATATATGATAAAATACATATAATAAATACCATATAAATGTATAAATTATGTAACAAACATATATCAAATAAAGAAATAATACTATATTTAATGTAAATTATTAACATTTTAACAAATCCTATTAATAATTAAAGTTTGTAATGACATTAAATTACATGAAATAATAGTTAACCAGTTTTTTCCTATTAGAACTCATATAAGCTCAGTATGATTTCTAAAAACTGATCATAACATTCAGAGCTTATGAAACTGACTGGAGTTACAGTGCGCATAACAAAAAATAAAAATAAATAAATAAATTTAAATAACACACACACACACACATATTTATATATTTGTCTGTGCTCCTCTTAGGTTTAAAATATGATAAAATCACATTTGATATACGATGGTATATAAAGTTCTCCACACAGTGTGTGTGTGTGTTCCTGTACCTCATGTCTCTCTCCCTTGTTCTCCGTCATCAGGATGATGGCATCAGCGAGTGTTGTGGACGGGGCCTCCACCTGCTCCACCATCACCTGTCTGGAGCTGTAGATGGCCAAGATGTACCCTGGGTAATCCTGACTGGGTCTCCGAGCGTTAGTGGGGCTGGACACTGTCAAAACACACGCAACATGATGAAGAAGAGGACCCATCATGCCCTTTCCCCCATTATTCATCTTTCTGTAGTGTGTAATGTTGCTGTTTGAGCACAAAGTCTCTCTGTATCAGTGCCAGTGTTTCTGAACTCCTGAAACGCCTCCAGTGTAGTCTGCAGTTTTGGTTCTTCCAGGAACGAACATCTCACAATATTCCTCATTTAAAAAATTAATACGCAGAATAAAGGGGCGGGGCCTGGGTGAGTTAATTTGGCAGTGTGTTACTGTAGTAACTATGTATAAACCTTAATTAAACAATGTAATAATCAGTTAAAAGCTGCGGCGCCATCTTCTGGTCAGACGCGGGAATGCATTCAGTGCACGACTCTCACCATGCATTATGGGTATTTTATAGCCATTGCGCACACATCGGTGGCTGTCCCTTCAAACTGTGCTCTATTCAAGGATATAGGGGCGATTTAAGACACAGTCCAATTATTTTATTACAGTTTACGGTTATTTCGGACAGTTTGTTTCAATGAACCGGTTAAAAAAAAAAACGACTCACCAGTTCGTTTACATAAACAGCGAGGTCGCATTTACACAATTCTACTATAATAGAACCCAATAATGATAATAAAGCGGATCTTTTATGCCTGGTTCAGATTATACGATTTTTTTTTTGTCTGGGCTGTCAATCCTCCAAAGAGAACTTGAGGTAAAATATTGTTTTCTTATATATTTTTACTTCTAGTTTTAACGTTAGCACCATCGTCTCTCTTTCGTTTTGTCTTTTTTGAAAGTTGTATACGGAAAAGCTTGTGCTCCTATTGGTCAACCTCATACATGTGACGGAACCGTGTATCTGGTATGTTAACTTAAAATAAAAAATATTGATCACAAAAAAAAAAAATAAAAAAATACATGCGACAGAACCGTCGTGGACGACCGTTAAAAAATTAAACATGCTAGTCTTTTTGTCGTGAAGCATCGCAGACACGACGTAGGTTGTCGCCCGCTATGACACACTATACGAGATGATACGATCAAATCTTGCGTCCCAACGCCCGTTGTCGTTTACGAATCCCCACGACACCCTACGTCAAACGGATCGTGCCAAAATCGGGCTAAAACCGTGTAATCTGAACCAGACATTACATGTTTAAAGGATATGTAGTGAATGAACTAGCCTTAATCAACTCACCTTTTTACAATAAAACATGAGAAACCATTAACAAATAACCTTTAATTTCACCCCTCATTCAAGTCAGCTGCTCGTTCACGTATGCTCGTCTCAGTCGGAACTGTCGTAACCATTAACAGACTCAGAAACACACATTTTGGCCCATTATGAAACACTCGGCACATGTTGGAAATGCAGAAAAGAGTGTTCTCAGTTCAGTTTACTCTTGGACTGGAGTGCTGAATGAGTTAGCAAAATCACCCACATCATAGGATCAAATACTCCAGGCTCATTTGGAGATTTGGTGAACTGATTCAGCCAGTTCACTAAAAAGAACCGATTCGTTCTCGAACCGGATATGACTCGAACTAAACAGAGTGTTACTGACAGACTGGAAAGAGAGGAGCTGCAAATATGGGAGAAATAATGTTTTAACATTAACCAAAAACAGTAAATGTGGCCTGTTTAATCTTGTCCGTGTACCTGGTGTTGACGTCCCGGTCAGGTCCATCTGCCAGTGGTTGAAGGCACAGCAAACCACCGCGTACTCTCCCGGCTCCAGCATCACGTCACATCCCACAAACTTCTTCACCGCGCGCTTGCTGTGTGCTAGCAGACGGCCCAGCACCAGCTTATTCCCGTTCCCGAACGAGGCCCGGAAGACCATGATGCACAGATCCAACAGGTGACTGTCAGCCGTGTCTGAGCGCCTGGTGGGGATTGAGAGCGCTTTTATTTTGTTGTTGTTGTTGTTTTTATGATTAATGTTGTATGTCTTGATGTGATTTACCTGCTGCCCTCCTGGAAGAGGGCGAACTCCAGCGCGGTTCTCTCCAGGACTGTGAGCGCGGTCACGGTCACCGGTTTACTCGCCCGGCACGGGAAGCAGCCCTGCAGACGCACCTCCTGCCAATCAGCATGAATCTTGCAGATATCCACCGAGTCAAAGTACCTACACACAACATTCACCAATCACCAACCACGCTCTGGTTATTTAAACACATCTACTGACGAAACACGGATACATTTTGAGCATCAGTTGATAATTAAACCTGATAAACGGATATGTCTTAGAATCTAAGATTTGTTGATTGATAGCTCAAATTTGAGTGAATTTTAAAATAATAAATAAGAATAATCATAAGTAATACTATTATTTTTTTTAAAGTAATAATATATTTTTTAAATAACTTAATTTTTTCCTTATTTTATTATTAGACAACATGTATAAAATACTAAATTGATCATTTTTTATTAAATAATTTTATTAAAACAATAATTATTTACAACTTAATAAATATGGTGTTTATATATATATATATATATATATATTCTGTAAATTTTAATAATATTTCTAATTATTATAGTTTAAAAGTTTTTTTCAAATTTATGCAGATCTCATTTGTGATCATCAAAATTTTCAATAAATATGGTGTACTGATTACTGAAGTATTTTATTTTTGCTTTCAAAAGTTTGTAGATCATCATAACATACAATACTTTTTAAAAAATAAATATGTAAAATAAAGATTTCATTTGTCATCATTAAATAATATGTACACAATATAAAATTAATTCAAAGTTTAATATAATTCTTTAATTAGGATTTTCAGAAAACATTGCTTTGATACGATCATTTTAATACTTTGCATGTAGATCTCAATTGCCACCATTAAAGGAGTAGTTCACTTTAAAAAAAAACTTTTGCTGATAATTTACTCGCCCCCATGCCATCCAAGATGTCCACGTCTTTCTTTCATCAGTCGAAAAGATATTAAGGTTTTTGATGAAAATATTCCAGGATTTTTCTCCATATAATGGACTTCAATGGGGACCAAAAGGTTCACAGTCCAAATGAGAGTTTCAGTGCAGCTTCAAAGGGCTTTAAACGACACCAGACGATGAATAAGGGTCTTATCAAGGACCCTTCGAGTCATGACTCGGAAAAAGATTTCTTAATTTTGATGAACGAGTTTGAACACGAGAGTCACGAATGCTCATCACAGAACAGAGCAAGGCGAGCATTTGAGCTTATAAAACTGAAACTTTTTTTATTTATTTTTTAAATGAGTGATCATTTCGCTAGATAATACCCTTATTCATGGTCTGGCGTCGTTTAAAGTCCTTTGAAGCTGCACTGAAACTCTCATTTGGACTTGAGCCGTTTGGTCCCCATTGAAGTCCATTATATGGAGAAAAATCCTGGAATGTTTTCGTCAAAAACCTTCATTTCTTTTCGACTGAAGAAAGAAAGGCACGGACATCTTGGATGACATGGGGGTGAGTAAATTATCAGCAAAAGATATTTTTTTTAAAGTGAACTACTCCTTTAATATATAAATGTAACATACCCATAATCTACAGGACCTCTTCGGTCCACTAATGAGATCCTCTTTATTTCTGGAAAGCTCTGATTAAGGTCACCTCAGATTAAAGGTCAATCTAGCACAGATGAAGCAGCTAATGACTCACTTAATGAAGTCTCCGTACTCCATCCAGAACACGCCTTCGCTGCTGCCGTGAGCCATGAGCTCGTGACGCAGATGCTGAGGCCAGTCGGCCCACTCGTCCGACCAGGATCCGTTCCAGGAGAAGCGGCCCCAGGGGTTCCTCAAACGCAGCAGTCTGAAACACCACACCGCAGGCCTTTATCAGGACCACTCCCTGGCTTTACTAACACACGAGCCGTGCCTTTATTATTCCGTCACAATACAGGGTCAAAAATGCTCTGGTGTAGGCTGACACACACACACACACACCATAAACAGAGCTCTATATGATCTGCAATACTGACAATACATCGAAATAAATGCAAAGAAACAGTTTGTGATTTGATTTTGATATCTCAAATATCATGTGTGTTCTCTTACCTTGATGTTTCATTGTTTAACTAATAGTTATTTCGGTATATAATCATATCAATATTAAAAAGAAGAAATTAAAAAGTTAGTTTTAACAAATAATCTAATTTTCTACTTTATACAATTCGAAGATAGCTAACCAGTACACATGTTTTGCCCTTATTTCAAGCATGGCAGCGTGAATCATTTCCTCTCTTATGGAAACGCCATCTTTTGTGTCGTATGAGTGAACAAACTGCATGATGGGATTGTGTGTCTGACCTGTAGCCCTGAACGTCTCTGACGTCCAGTATGGAGTACGCGTGTCTCGGACGGAGTCCCAGAGATTCATAAACAGCGTCATCAACCTTCATGTTTCCGCCTCCACAAGACGCTCCCATCAGAAAACTGACACACACACACACAGAACGCAACACCTAGTAAATATTCATCATTCACTTATTTACTTACAACTCTATAACACTGTTATTTTAGTAGCCTATCATTGATATACTATTAGTTTCTATTAACAACTTAAATCAGTTGAATTTTTTAAGATTTTCCATTATTGTTTTTAGTCATTTTTATTCGTTTTTGTGGAAACGCTTTCATTTGTTTGCATTAGTTAACGGACTAACACTTCTAAAGCATGTATTAATCGGTTAATAATATGAAATTCAACTTTTATTAACACATTAATGTTATTTAATGGATCTGAGCTAACGTGAACTAGCAATGAACAGTATTTTTATTTCACAAAGATTATTAAATAATTTTTATAATTTTTATTTCACAGTAAAATTGTAATTTTTTTTTTAAATTTTTATTTCACAAAGATTAATAAATACTGTATCAAATGTATTACTCGGTTAATGTTAGTTAATGCATTCATTAATGTTATCTGACAGGACCATGTTGTAATATATAGTCTTTATTTCAGTATTAGTTTTAGTTATGGCAGTACTTCAAGATAAACTAAATGAAAATAAGAAAAGCATCTTTTTTATATTTTATTTCAAGTAACAATAATGTTATTTTATGGTATTAGTTAACTTTAATAATACCCTAGCCTAGCGTATAAATACCATATATTCAAATTATTAATTAACACACTTCATAGCACATTCAATTCAAAATATGTACAACATATTAATCTTGTTTATTCATATTTTATACTATTTTTTTAAATAATATTAATACAGTTTAAAAAAAAACAAATAAAAATACAGAACATAACACACCAGGAAAATCACAAAAACAGACATTTGTGTAGACATTTTATATAATATTTTATATAAAATAATCTGATAAGTGTCTCTTTAAGACATATTATAATGTTTAATAAAAATATTCTAATAACAGTTACAGACAATGTTTATAAATGATCTGAATAGCAATATAATTTGCGCTTTTCATCTGATACTGTGAGTATGCGGACACTAATCGCCTGGTAATTTGAGCCCTGAAACTGACAAAGAGCCGAGAAACACTTTAAAAGGCACTTTCCAATTTGTAGTGGCACACGTTTTTTTTTTTTAATCCAATTTTCTTGTCTTGTCTTTTTGCCTTTATTATAACAGACAAAAGATGCCTTGTCATCTTATAACGTGCCTTGAAATTAGTGAGTCCGGAGCACAGTGAATAAATTACAGGGCCCAATTTACAGGATAATTAGTATAATAATCTTGAGTGTGTGTGTAAGTCGTACCCCGCCTCTTTGGAGCTGAGCATCTTGGCCCATATGAGGTCCGTGTCGATTGGTTCTTCACGAGGGTTGGTTGAGCTGACCTGCAGCATCAGACTCTCACAGGGGGCGCCAGTGAGCGTCGCCAAACCCTCGATGGCACGGCCGGCCTGCAGCGCAAAATATGAGCCGTGCAGCTTCGCCAGAGCCTTCTCTATCAGCGCCACCCACAGCTGCCTCCGCTGAGCCTGGACGTCACACAGCAACACAAGCCGTTAGCAGGGACAGGGAGTAAAGCAGCACATTTATGGGCTACAGGAACTACTTTCAACTGTATAATCTGTATAATTGTCTCCTTTGCTTTGCTTTGATTAAAAACTTTACTTTCATATTAAAAAACTTTAAAATATAGTAATATTATTACAGTCAATGTACTTAATGATAATAGTTTTATTTTATATGAACGTATGACAGTAGTAGTTCACAATTTAAATATTAAGATGGAGTAATATTTTCAAAAGTTTATATATATATATACACATGTCTCATCTTAATATTTAAATTGTAAACTACTACTGTCATAAATTAATATAAAATAAAACTATTATCATTATGTAAATATTAGGGCTGTGCAAAAATTAATTGCGATTAATCGCATCCAAAATAAAAGTCTGTGTTTACATAATATATTTGTGTGTGCTGTATATAATTATTTTGTATATATAAATACCTATGCATGCATGTATATATTTAAGAATTATTTTCGCTTAAATTCTGTATATATATATATATAAATACATAATCTATATTATATAAATATAAATATTTTATATATGAATAACACATTTTCTTAAATATATACATGCATGTGTGTGTATTTATATATACAAAATAATTATTTACAGCACACACAAATATATTATGTTAACACAGACTTTTATTTTGGATGCGATTAATCGCAATTAATTTTTGCACAGCCCTAGTAAATATATAAATATAATGGTAATTTAATTTATATATATTTTTTTTTTTTAATTGTCATTCCATTGATTTTACAAATAACTACAATTACTTTATCACTACTTCACATATTGTTTAGCAGGTTACAAATGTGCAATTGTTTATTTACTTTGGTTGGCAACATTTGAAACTGCTCAGTGTTTCTCTCAGATAATCATGACCTTGACAAAACAAGGGCTTAAATAAATCAGACGTGACAAACTCAAACCTGTGAGAACAGCAGAAAGCCGTATTCGTCGCAGGGCAGCATGTCGTCCACCAGAACCGTCGTCCACGTTCCATCTTTACAGAGCCGGACCTGATACGCTCCCTCATGGCACATGGTTCTGGTGATCATCACACGTTCCACCAACTCGGGTCGCTCCGCTAGCACTGCCAGAGCGCTTAAAAACCTGCGAGAAACACAGCAGCGACACTTCACTTCCTCCAAACACATTAAACTGAATTATTCTGAGCACAAACCATCAAAACGCACCGAAGATGACAACTGGACGCCACTTGCACAAATGAGGTCATGTGACAATTATTTAAAATACAGTATTATACATTCAATTATGATTCAATTGTATACACTATTCACTGAGCTGTGTGCGGGACACTAGTTGACAGAGATAGATGATAGGCACACTTCTCTTACCAGCAATTACCCAGAAGGCCTTGCAGAATGTCAGAGGGGCGGGGCGTCCTGAACACGGACCATTTCACACCACGATCCTTAAAATTATTGCAGTTAATCTCATGAGGGCGGAGCCACTTTTTGATTCGCTGCTGGACGCTGTCATTCTCGGGGAACCCGACCGAACGCGGGCCAGGGGGGAAACTGTCATCCACGAAGTTCACCGCGTTCTACGACAAACACACAAGAACTTTGTAAGGTGTTACACACACTAAAAACAGCATTTGCCATCAATTTGTATAGAAAATAAAATGAATTACAATTTTTATTTAACAAATAACAAACAAAAAAATGTAAATATATATATATATATATATATATATATATATATATATATATACATTTTATTTAAATGTGTGTATATATATATATATATATAAACGCATTGTGTATCTCCACATCTAGAATTGAAGGTGTGATTTTATTATTTATTATTCTTATTCTTATTATATCATTCTTACCCCTCCCCAAAGTGTATGTATTAATAAATAAATAAATAATTTTATTTAATGACATTTTCCATTATTAAATAAGAATATGAAATAAATGCAATGAATTATAAATACACTATTCTTTTCAAATATATGTAGATCTTATTTGTCATTATACGATATAAAATGAACTAAAATTCTACGATAATATTTAAATGAATAATGAATTTTTTTTTCAAATTCATGTAGATCTCAGTCATTTGCCAATACATATATAACAAATGAATTAAAATGTTAATATAATATTTGTAATAAATATAAATATGGCATAAAATTGTTAAATGTTTTTATGTAGATCTTTTTTGCCATCATTAAATAATGTGTTAACAATACACACAAACAGACTGGAAGTAATAGTGAATTTCATTCAAAGCATCAAGACTTCGTTTATTTGGTTTAATAGATTTAGAATAAAATCCTTAACGAGGCAAGAATGCCAAGTCACCTTAACAAAAACAATAACTAATCACTGTCAGAGTGAACATCTTTATAAAGTCTACATTTTGTGCATCAGATAAAGACACTGTGAAGAGTGACGAAACATGTAAAAATGCAATGAAGCTTCTGACCCAAAACTGCAGCAGATATTCTGCAGGAACGCATATCGTCACAGGAAAAACACGTACATGCCGGAGAAATAGGGGTCATTTTGACTCTGGGGAGCTGTTTAATTGCTGTTGCAACCATTTCTAAAAATACGTCTCCCAGGTTGCGAGCGGACATGGAAGTGTGGTGAATATAAACTTGCATTTTAGATGTTCGAAATCCCATTTGCAAATAGAAAGAGTGTGTTGTGAAATACTACCTGATTATCAATCATATTATGTTAAAGGGTTAGTTCACCCAAAAATGAAAATGATGTCATTAATTACTCTCCCTCATGTCATCTTCGAGACACAGATATTTTAGATTTAGCCTGAGAGCTTTCTGTCCCTCTATAGGAAATGTGTGTATGGTATACTGTCCTTGTCCAGAAAGGAAATAAAGACATCATCAGAGTAGTCCATGTGACATCAGTGGGTTAGTTACAATGTTTTGAAGCATCCAAAATATAGTTTGGTCCAAAAATAACAAAAAACATGACTTTATTCAGCATTGTAGGCTATTATGCTTCGGTTCTAAAATATAAAAATTAACCAAAGGTTTGCCAAGAGGGACACAAATCAATGATATCAAGTAAAAATTATAACAGAAAGGAAAACTCCGGATTTAAAAAGCAAGATCTTTGACAAGCTGTTGAAGTTCATCTTCAGGCAAGATGGCTGTATTTATAATCCCACAATGGGCTATATGCACGCATAAGTTCCGCATTTGACGTAAGGATGCTCGTCCATTTCCGGTTGTGTAGATTAAAGCGGAGGAAAACCGGAGAAAACGGGATTATGGCAGAGTCTTCAATATTTACTGTCCTCCCGTCTTTGAAACGAAACGTACATACGTTTAGATGTAATTTTATATATAGTTATGTTTATTTAATATAATTTTAAAAAGAAGCATAAACACAACGAGGGGTGTCTGTTTTATCTGTTTTTGTGACTAACGTTTCATTAGTATAACCATGGAGTATAAAATTCAATATAAATTCTCAGTATTGCATTGGACTCTATGATCGGCGGAAGTTATCGAGCATCCTTAATCCTTCACCGGAAATAACGCCGTGCATAGAGCCCATTAAGGAAGACAAAGCTTAGAGGAGTTTGAACTGCTTCTGTGTCCTTTTCTGAAACTTTTACAGTGGTTAGCATTAGTGAACACACCCATGCTAAAGTTGACTAAAAAATCAGCTTTTAGAAATTGATCTTAAAGCCTTAATTTAAAAAAAAGAGGAAAATCCTACATTTTCTGTGAATGAATAATGCATCATAAATAAATAAATGTTCTTCCTTAAAATACAGGGTGCATAAGTCAGGACACCCCTATGTTAAAATCCCATAGAGATGGGCAGATTTGTATTTTTAAAGACCAAAATATCCCAAATCATCACATACCTAAATATGGATGCATAGTATCCTGGATCCATGAAATAACTGGCCTTTAAAAAAATAAAAATCTGTGTCGTGACTTTGCATTCTGTTTTTTAAGGAAGAACATTTATTTATTTATGATACATTATTCATTCACAAAGAAAATTGGTGTCCTTAAAGGTTGGATTATCCTCATTTTTTTAAATTAAGGCATTAAGATCAACATCCAAAAGCTGATTTTTTATTCCTCTTTTTACTCAACTTTAGCATGGGTGAGTTCACTTGTGTTAAGCACTTTATTGAATCTGGACAAGGATCATGAACAAGAAGTTCTTGAGTATTTACATTTCAGACACTCTTGATATTTACATTGATTCATTTCGCTGACGCTTTTATCCAAAGCGACTTACAATTGCTGTATATGTCAGAGGTCGCACGCCTCTGGAGCAACTAGGGGTTAAGTGTCTTGCTCAGGGACACATTGGTGTCTCACAGTGGATTCGAACCTGGGTCTCTCACACCAAAGGCACGTGTTTTATCCACTGCGCCATCACCACCCCTAGACCATATCTTTCCTCCCTGAACAGAACTTCAAAAGCTGTACAACTGCAGTCAGCATCTCCTCAAACACAAAGTCTGACCACTTTCCTCTCCAAGAAGGTCAGAAATATATCAAATATTCAGCAGATATGAGGGCGCCGCTGGTTTCATAATGCACTGTGTTTTTGATACTGGCTCGGTTTCAAAGACAGAGCTGCGGTTTGATAGCAGTGAAATGTCAAGAGAACCGAGAACGGATGTTTAAATGATGGAACATTAGTATTTAGCCGGGTGTAATCGAGAGAAATGTATTACAGTACACTGTGAACACTACAAACATCTAGAGGTGCGCCAATGTATCAGTCACTGACATTTAAACCGATATTAAAAGGCTCATTAATAATTCATTAGGTAGATCTAATGTGTTGGATAAGGTGTATTTGCATATACATATATTCACTGAATACTTTTATTAAAGGAGTAGTTGACTTTTAAAAAAAAATTTTGCTGATAATTTACTCACCCCCATGTCATCCAAGATGTCCATGTCTTTCTTTCTTCAGTCGAAAAGAAATTAAGGTTTTTGATGAAAACATTCAATTTTTCACCATATAATGGACTTCAATGGGGTCCAAACGGTTCAAGGTCCAAAAGAGAGTCTCAGTGCAGCTTCAAAGGGCTTTAAACGATTCCAGACGATGAATAAGGGTCTTATCAAACGAAACGATCGCTCATTAAAATAGTTAAGTTTAAGTTTTATGAGCTCAAATGGTCGCCTCAAAATGAACAAATCTTTTTCCGAGTCAATTTGTTCATTTCGTTCATTGAATCAACCAAATGACACGAAAAAAGATTTGTTCATTTTGATGATCGAGTTCGAACAGGAGAGTCACGAATGCGCATCACAGAACAGAGCAAGGCGAGCATTTGAGCTTATAAAACTTAAACTTTGTTATTTATTTATTAAATGAGCGATTGTTTCGCTAGATAAGACCCTTATTCATCGTCTGGTGTCGTTTAAAGCCCTTTGAAGCTGCACTGAAACTCTCTTTTGGACCTTGAACCGTTTGGACCCCATTGAAGTCCATTATATGGAGAAAATCCTGGAATGTTTTCATCAAAAACCTTCATTTCTTTTCGACTGAAGAAAGAACGACATGGACATCTTGGATGACATGGGGGTGAGTCAATTATCAGCAAAAGATTTTTTTTAAAGTGAACTACTCCTTTAACAAAGGATGCATTAAATTGATCAAAAGTAACAATAAAGACATACATAATGTTTCAAAATATTTCTATTATAAATAAACGCTGTTCCTTTGAAATTTCTACTCAAAGGATCCTGAAAAAAAGTATCTTTGTCTCAGTTAAATAATGAGCACAATCGAACTAAATACAAACGAGGGAACGAAATAGTACACCGTGGCCATAATTGACCTAAACCGAATAAGTAAGTTTTCATGTGTGTAAAATATAGAGTATCAGTGTTAGATATTTAAAATTAATATCATATATGGCAAAAAAGTATGAATCGGTGCATCTCTAGATATCATTGATAGACTGATAATAACATTTAAGCATTTTTAAAATCAAACTGACAGCGTCTTACCTCTCTACAGAAGCTGACGATATTTTCCCACAATTCCTTGGCCTCTCCCTCATCCGTGCGTCGTCGGGCCTCCACATGCATGCTCTCCCTGCGTTTGAGCGGTTTCCCAGTTTTGCGCAGGTTCAGGTACTGCTGCGGGGTGTGACACGCGGCGCAGTGCTTCATCCTCCCTTCGTTCAGCAGTGTGCACGCAGGGCACGTCCACTGACACACGATCTTGTCCTGCGCCGATGGGGACGAGGCCGAGGACGACGAGGCGGGAGTGAAGGCACGCGAGTGGGAGTGCGGTTGTTTCCGAGAACACGACGAGCAGTTGGACGGCTCGGAGAAACCGTGCAGCTTGGACGACCCGCAGGCCGTGCAGTGGCCCGTTCCCGTCGGATTGCGCAACGTACATTTGGAACACGCCCAAGAGCTGAAGTCCGGGCTGGACGGCGACGCCGGCGTGAAGCGCACCGATTCGCCCAACACGTCGATGACATCACCACCCGAACCCGGCCGCGACCCTCGACATGCGTCGCACCGTCCGGCGGATGACGAAGGAGGAGCCGTTGGGGCGGAGCATCCGGGGCACTTCCAAGAGGGCGGAGACGTGACTGGAGGGGCGGGGTTGTTAGGCTCCTCCTCCTCCAGCACACTTAGGCGCTTGTTTGAGTAATTGTCTGATGGTGGGAGGGGCTTGGATTTGTTAGGCGGGCAGGTCGAGGGTGATGTTGGTGAGGGGGCGGGGTTTGGGGGCCGCCCAGGGGGCGGGACTTCCCTCCGGCTTCGAGGCACGGGGTTATTCTGAAGCGAGGACAGGGAAGGGGGCAGAAACGGGATGGGGGGTGGAGACGGGGTTTCGGAAGGTACTTGGGGTGGAGAATCTACGGTCAGATCAATGAGAAGTGGCGCGGACGCTCCTGTCGTTTGCGTGGGAAACCCCGCCACAGGTGTAAGCACTTCGGGAACCACTAGTGCTTCGGGAGGGATTTTCGGTAAGGAGAGTTTTCTTGGACCACCACATGCTGAGCATGACAACGCCACCGGAGTGTTCACTAAAGTACAACGAGGACACGCCCACTCCAACGACACCACCCCACTCATAGACACCTCCCCGTTGGACTCCGCGCACCGGGACTCCCCATTGGCTACCTGGCCTTTGGCTTCAGGGCTGGAGGCGGGTTCTACGGGAGTGGGCGGGGCCTGTTTGGGTGGAATGGGTCCGTTGGCTGTAACTGGAGCGGCTCCGCACACAGAACATGTGCCTAATCCATGGTGATTGGTCAGGGTGCAGCGTGGGCAGGACCAGCGCGGCTCCTCGGCACTGCTGAGGCGCAGAATGTGGTTCAAATCCGGCTTCTGCCGGGGAGCTTCGCAAATGGAGCAACGCAAGGAACCGCTGGAGTTCAGAAATGTGCAGCGTCCGCATGACCAATCAGAATTCCTCACAACTGCTGCCATCGAACCAGGAGAATGAGAGTTACTACAAGAGAAAGAGAGAGAAAAAAACTATTAATAATGAAATTAACACTGGATACGAAAATTAAAAATCAGAGCGCAAAATACACACACAATACAAAAAAGCGGGCAAAGAAAAAAGGAATATGTGCAGAAGATAATTATTGTGTGGTATAAAATAGATTTCAAATAATTAGGGCTGTCAAACGATTAATCGCGATTAATCGCATCCAAAATAAAAGTTTGTGTTTACATAATATATGTGGGTGCACTGTGTATAATTATTTTATATATATAAATACACACACATGCATGTATATATTTAAGAAAAAGAATATTTTAATATTTATATATAATATAAATTATATATAAATCTATATACAGTATTTCTTAAATATATACAAGCATGTGTGTGTATTTATATATATATAAAATAATTATACGAAGTGCACCCACATATATTATGTAAACACAAACTTTTATTTTGGATGCGATTAATCGCGCTTAATCGTTTGACAACCCTACAAATAATATTTTATATCTATATAAATAGGCAAATAAACAATTATACTTAAAATTAGATAAATATAATAGCATAATTTACAAAAAAAAAAAAATTTGTTTTTATATACAGTAAATTATAGTTTAAATATAATTTTTTACAGAATAGAATTTATATTTAGTACTTTATATTTTTGAATATATAAATCGTTTATCATTACATTATTATTGGTATAATAACAACATTAATAATTAGTTTTATAGTTAGAATTATAGTAATAGTCAAATTATGTGGATTTGTTTTGAACAAATCAATATCATGTAAGTGTATCATGACTGTTTTTGTGTGTGTTTTTTTTAATAATTTTAACTTGTTGTTTCTATGTACGGACTTTGCACGTTGTCCAAGACAAATTTATAATACAAGCATAAAGTAAAGTAATAATAAATAACACTACTAAATACGTAAATAACACTACTAAATAACCAAATCAAGTATAATCAAAAGGAGAAAATGTCTCGAATATATTAAGAACAGCCTGGCAAACCATCCACACATTTTAAACACAACTTTCTTTGATATAGTGTTGGTCTTTGGGTCGGGTCCCTGTGAGCATGCTGAGACATTTGGCCCCGAGTCTCCAAAAGCCATCGCATACACACAGTAAGACATTTGTAATGCGAGTCACAGCCATTAGCACTGGTCAAACAGAACTGGCCCTCATCCCAATCCTCACAGCGTATGAGTATGTGTGTGTGTGTGTGTATTATATGACTCAGTACTGATACTAACTGTCAGCTCGAGGAGGATCACGCTGATAAATAATGCACAGAATCAAAGCTTGTGTAAGTATCCGAGGATATGTGTGTTCAGCAGCCTGTGCACAAAAACCAGAGCATGGGTGTGTTCGGTGACCTATTAACACAGCTGGAAAGAAGGGAATTATTGGCGGAAATAGTTCATCTGAATACGCAATATAACAGCTTTCCAACTGCATTATGTTTTTGGCTTCGGGCTGATGAACATCATGTAGAAACAATGCGGACTACTAGAATCCATTAAAAACAGTCACATAAGGAAATCTGAGCAAGGAAACATGCAAACGAGGAAAGGACATATGAGGTGAAAGAGCCAGCGAATTTCATACAACAATCCATTTTTATGAATTGATATGGACATGTGCACTCAGGCTTGATGTGTCCCATATTGAGGAGACGATACAGGGCGAGCTGTCAGACTTTTACTCATTCATTTCTCAGGGTAGGTCTATTTTGAAAAGTCAATTTTAATATAGAGACAAACCCTGATGCCTCAGCTATAAAATAGTGATTTTTTTTGCACCATTACTGACCAGGAAAACACACACAGTTCATGGGACACACTATGGTGGGGCATGTTGTCACAGTGGATCCTATAATAATAAATATTATTTTTTAAAACAGTTAACAAAAAATATGAAAGGTAACGCTGAAATATTGAACTATTGTTTGGGCCAATAAATAAAATAAAATAGAAATTTATAACATTTTGAAAGCAACATACTAAAGCATACTGACATATTAAACAACTGTGTGTGTATCTGCGTTCATTCTGAATTGTGATTGGTTGAGGTGATAGGAGCTTGTTGCTATGGGAATAAATCTTCAAATAAAAGCCTCTGAGAGCAGCAACTCACTTTTCTACCACTGATAAAACATTCTGATAATGAACCACACACACACACACACACACCCTAGAGGCGTTCAGCTGGATTAATGTAATACATGATGTCACACTAGGACTCTACAGCATTTATGTCTCAAGTGTGAAAGGTCCTGTGTGTTGTACTTTCACCTCAGATAAACTAATGATGAAAAGTAGATGGAGTGTAGTATAGTAATAGTGTATAATGATTAATAACCTATCTGTGTATGGAGGAGATTGTGAATGTGAGGCAATATTTAAAGCGCTTTGGTGGCCATTGGGTGGGTGAAAGCGCTTTATAAATGCAGTCCATTTACCATAATAATATTTTTTCATGAAATAATAATACATGGTAAAAATGAGAAAAACCTAAATAGTCAACCTCACTAATCCAGCTGGACTAGTTGACCATCATGGCCCCATTTGTAAGACACATGAAGACCCAGGCCAGTAAATAATAAAATATGATATTAAAAAGTAAATACGTACAGATCAAATATGAGTTTGAACACACAGAAGCGGCTCACGATTCGACGCTGGTGGAAACGCATTAAATAAAGTGCTTGTGAAGCTTCCTGGATTCTGTTAACACAAGAAATCCTTTAGAAAATAACAAGGACAAGTTGAGTTCTTGCACTGCTCAATCCTTATAAAAATAATATGACGGAATTGTTTCAGCGGGGAGAATAATTCATATGAGAGCTTGTTACTTCTGAAAGGCTCTTGTGCGAGTCTGTGTGTGTTGTGTCAGTTGTTAAAAAGGTCGGTGACAGACGGTTGTTTCACCGCTAGGACTTTTGGAAATGAACAGCCGCGTACAGCATATGGTGAACAGAAAACATGACGTCTCTCCTGACAGCTGAACCGCTGTTTTCTTGAACCCGGGGAAATATTCAACACTACTACTAGCATTTTAGTTTTTCCACCTTAAGTTCATTTATAATGATAGCTTTCTTTTTTCAGCATTTTAGGACTATTTTCCACCCTCTCTCTCTGAGCCTTTAAATAGCTGATTGCATTTTTTTGTAAATGACTTGGGTTACGATTGGCTGATCTCAATGCACCGGCATCATTTACACAAAAATTAAAGTTCTGTCATCATTTACTCACTCCCATGACTTTCTTCTGTTTTATGAAACATAAAAATATTTTAAGCAGAAACACCTGACCTGAAAATTAACAATGTTGGACAGTGTCAAGCTTCCAAAAATGATATTAAAATGCAATTATATATGAAGTCTTCTGAAACCATCCAATAGCTTTGTATGAAGAATAGACTTTTAAAGGGATAGTTCACTTTGAAATTAATTTTTGGTATGTTTTATCTTACCTCAAGGGCATCCAAGATGTAGGGGTCTTTGTTTCCGCAGTATTTTCAATTTTGATGTTTTTAGGTCAAACCGTTGTTGTCTGTCAGTCATATAATGGAGGTCTATGGTCACCACCTCAAAGAGCATGCACAGAGAAGTCCAAATTAAACATGATTTAATGACTCGTAAATGTAAATACACATTGATGGCCTAAGACACGAAACGAGCGGTTTGTGTGAGAAAACTAACAGTATTTATATCGTTTTTACCATGTGTAACCACAGCCACGTCCAAATAGGATGATATAAATATTGTCCATTTTCTCACACAAACCGCTCGTTTCGTGTCTTAGGCCATCAACGTGTACTTACATTTACGAGTCATTAAATCATGTTTAATTTGGACTTCTCTGTGCATGCTCTTTGAGGTGGTGACCATAGACCTCCATTATATGACTGACAGACAACAACGGTTTGACCTAAAAATATCAAAATTGAAACTACTGTGGAAACAAACTGTTTTGATGATGACAAACCTTGCAAAATGTGCCTTTAAACTGTATGCAAAAGAGCAGCATAAACTAAACTACCTAAACATCTTCTTTAAGAAATTCTCACAGGTTTGGAACAACATGGGTGAATACACAATGACCGATTTATATTTGTGAGTGAATACTTTCTTTAAATGTGCCGGTATATAAGCACTTCTTTTAAAGAGCTGGACGTGTGCTGATGATCAGCTCCAGCACGCCTGCCTCAACATACCATGCATTGCAAACATGATTAACGTCCGTGTAATATAGAAGATTGTGTGTTATCAGAACACACACACACACGTGTGAGACCTCATGGGTTCACGGGATGCCCCTGGCAAACAGTGGTAAAGGGAAAATCCTCGAGTAAAAAGTTGCCTTCAGTGCCATCTGCTAAGTCCAGACCATCTGCTTATCAAACACACACACACACACACATTCAAAACCTGTCCAAGATGTTTCAGCTATAGACTGTATTGACACAGTCCTGCTGCACTGCATACACTACCGTTCAAATGTTTGGTGTTGTATTAAAACTTCGTTTATGCCTGTGATCACAGCTGAATACTCCAGTCTTCAGTGTCACATGATCCTTCACAAATCACTCTAATATGAGGAGTTGCTGTTCAAGAAACAGTTGTTGCTTCATATTTTTGTGGATATCATGAATAAAAGAACAGCATTTATTTTAAATATTAATATTTTGTAACATTATAAATCTCTTTAGTGTCACTTTTGACCAATTTAATGCATTCATGCTGAATAAAAATATTAGTTTCCTTAAAACAAACAAACAAACCCAAATCTTTGAATGGTACTTTAAAATGCACCAATAACCCAGAATATAGGACCACCTCAATCCTAATTAACTCGAAATGGCATTCGAAACTCATTTTACGCATTTTCAGATGAAATACAGGGCGGGAATATTAATCAGAAAATTAATGGATGGTGTAAAGTGGGAAAACGTATTCATTAGAAGAATGTGCACGTATAAAATGCTTGCAAAAATAACAGAAAAATGCAAAAAAAAAAAAATTATTTGAATTGCACATAAAATGTTCACCGTTTCAACATAAACTTAAAGGAGTAGTTCACTTTAAAAAACACTTTTGCTGATAATTTACTCACCCCCATGTCATCCAAGATGTCCATGTCTTTCTTTCTTCAGTCGAAAAGAAATTAAGATTTTTCTCCATATAATGGACTTCAATGGGGTCCAAACGGTTCAAGGTCCAAATGAGAGATTCATTGCAGCTTCAAAGGGCTTTAAACGACACCAGATGATGAATAAGGGTCTTATCAAGCGAAACGATCGCTCATTTAATTAATAAATAACAAAGTTTACGTTTTATAAGCTCAAATGGTCGCCTTGCTCTGTGACTCTCCTGTTCAAACTCGTTCATCAAAATGAACGAATCTTTTTCCGAGTCAATTTGTTCGTTTCGCGAGCATTTGAGCTTATAAAACTTAAACTTTGTTATTTACTAATTAAATGAGCGATCGTTTTGCTTGATAAGACCCTTATTCATCGTCTGGAATCGTTTAAAGCCCTTTGAACAGTTTGCACTGAAACCTTGAACCGTTTGGACCCCATTGAAGTCCATTATATGGAGAAAAATCCTGGAATGTTTTCATCAAAAACCTTCATTTCTTTTCGACTGAAGAAAGAAAGACACGGACATCTTGGGTGAAATGAGGGTGAGTAAATCACTACTCCTTTAAAATGATGATTTACTCCTTTAAATGATTTCTGCATTTAAAGAAAATATATTTGATTTAAATAATCATATTTTCAATAGAATCAGCAATCTATGTTAAATCTGTGTAATCCAAACAAAATGCCTTTTTGTGTCGAGTGTGTATCAGCAAAGTAAACAGTCACGTTGACCTTAAATCGCCTGCGCATGCATGCGTTTACCTGCGTTCTCTGTGTGGGACGGGCTGCTGTTGCTGCTGTTGGCGTGTGATGAAAGTGGTTCCCCACACGGGACTGCTGTGGCTGGTCCTGAGCCAGCCCATCGGAGCGGCCGAGGGGAACGGAGCCGTACCGAACCCGTGATCTGACTCTCTGTCCGTGGTCAGAGACGACGCAGAACTCCCCATTGCCACGACAGCGAGCAACGTCTAAACACACACACTGCGTCCCTCTGTTTGTCTTTCATACACATAAATACACACAAAGGTCAAAGGCTCTGGATCTCAGTTTGACATCTCCTCTAGTCGACACCAGGAAGGGCCTGCGAGTGGCAGCGCTCACACATGCATGCGAGTCCGCTGGCTAAAGAAGTTCACACGATCCAAGGTCCGCGAGGCCTTCAGCTCGACGGGCCCGGTCTCTCTACGTGCTTAACCTGCCGTGACCTCGCCCGAGAGGAAGGACGACACTTCAGGGATGGCAGTACTACACATTACTGAAGCACTAGAGACAAAAACACACCGCTTAAAGGTTTGAAAGAGGAACTCGAAAGTTTCCAGGCTCCATTGGAGCGCCGCTTCCCGTCTTGTTTTTCAATGCGACTGGTTGAGTCACGGCGCAGTCCCTCTAATCATGTTCTCTCTCTCTGTGGCTCATCTTTCCGCAGCTGTCACTGGGATTACGATGCGTCACATTTCATCCAGCCTGCAGAAGCAAATATTCCTTTCATCGCAAACAAACATCAGCGTCCAGAGAACAAGCATATGAGTCTGTGTGCATCAATGCAAGCGAGTAAGTGCATGTACGCGCGAGGGCCAATTTATAAAACAGCACCCGCGCTGGATAGTACAACCTATCGAAAACAGACTTATAAGGACATTTGAAGAGGTTTTAACTGGTAAATGAATTTAAACGAGCCAAATGTTTCAATAACAATAAAGTTGATAACGATAGCCAATATTATTTAATGCCTAATATGACTGATAATGACCCTATTTGTTTTGCAAGCTTACAAATTAACTTTGCAATTTATATTTACAATCAGCAGAAAACTTTATAAACATTAAGCGAAAACGTAACTTTCTGTATCTACTTACGACACCCGTAATGTTCGAAATGATAATTAAAAACATCAATAGCTACAAATTAAGACACCTAAATAGTGTGCATCCCTAGTAACTAACTAAGTGTATAATTACGGCAAATCAGCCAGATATAAAAGCACAACATGACATGCATACCAGCAAGCATATGTGTGTGTGCGCAAACAAACCCCTATGTGCATGCATGTGTGTGTCTGTGTGTGTCTTCGGGTTTCTGACCCAGCGGAGGCCCTGAGCGGGTCAGACTGCAGTGAATGTCCTCCTGGGTCCAGCTGCTCGGCTCATCTAAAGCTCATGCAGATGTTTCTAACGTGACAGCGTTGGCTGTGAAGGTTCTCATCTGTCTCTCAGGCACTCCGAGTATCAAGTTTGACACTCAGATCATGACTATGAATATTTAACGGCAGAGAGAGGCTCGGGTGAGGTGCAGTGGTCTCGGGCCCGGCCGGGAGAGGAGCGCTCCGGTTCCGCCGGTCCGACGTGCGGGTCTTAACGCCGGTCCAGCACCGAAAGCATCCGGATGGATGATGCAGACAAATCCCTGCGGCTAAACTGCGCTCGTCCGGGTGTGCGGTTCCGTGAGCCCGTTCGGTCGCTCATGATTCGGCTCGAGCGGATGATGATGATGATGCTGATGCCGCGCGCCGCATAAACACACACAGCCAGGAGCCGAACTGCAGCGGGGCTTTCACGCGTCTCCTCGCGGGACTCATCATGATGACAACATGCGTGTGTCTAAAGCGCGGTTTGATGTGCGTGTGTATATGCTTCCGCGGTTGTTTATTTGATTCGGTTCTTAATTCAGCCTGTTTCTCTCCAGCACGCGCAGATGCGCGAGGAAGGATTACGGCGAGTCAGCAGCGCGCATGCGCAGATTCAATGCTCACGCTCTCCTAAAGGATTCAGAATCTCTCGTGTCAAAATACAGGAATCTAGATTAATAAATGGGTGAATCTAACAAAGCCTGTCAAGAACATTTCTGGGACGTATTTCACCTCAAAAATCTCAACTAAAATATTAATATACGTATATATATACTATTTATATTAAAACGGATGAAATGAATTTCCAGCCCAAATGTCTTAAAGTGAATAGACAAAATGAAAGGGTGACGGCATGCCGTTACATAAGGTTTATGTGCTGTGATGAACATATTTGTATGAGGTCAGTCGTGTTTCTTTTAATGTGATAAAGCATTAAACAAATGTTTTCTATATTTTGAGAGATACTGAAGAAAGATCAGTGCATTATTAAAGAAAAGATAATTGCTGAGATAGAATGTGGAAAATGTTTAGAGGACAGAATCTTAGGTGTGATTACAAGAGGTAAAAACGATATAGATACTGTTTGTTTTCTTACACAAACCGCTCGTTTCGTGTCTTAGGCCATCAATGTGTACTTACATTTACGAGTCATTAAATCATGTTTAATTTGGACTTCTCTGTGCATGCTCTTTGAGGTGGTGACCATAGACCTCCATTAAAAATATCAAAATTGAAAATAATGCGGAAACAACGACTTCTACATCTTGGATGCCCTTGAGGTTAGCTAAAACATCTCAAAAATGTATTTCAAAGCGAACTATCCCTTTAATGTTCCTGTTACTGGCTATTTAGATGCATTACTAAACATTCAAAAAGCAAACTTAAAAAATAAATTAATTAAAGTGTCCCAAAGAAACTTAGAAACAGGGGCTGTTACATAAGAATGAGCAATGCATTAATATCAGAAGGTGAAAGAGCAAGGCTAATGAATGCATGTTCAGAAAGTTTGTTGGTTCCATGTAAATTGTTCTTTCACTTTCGCAATACCTCAGGCAGCTCATAAAACCTGTCTAACAAGATCGCAGACACACGCATGAAAACTGGCTCCAGATTCTTACAGGATGAGAGAGCAGATGTGTAAATACACTTACTGAAACCACAACACACTCCTTTATGCCCCGTGCTAACAATTAAAAAACATGCAACAATACTTATACTTAACCAAGACATGTGACACTGACAACTGCAGATTCGTGAGAAAATGAGTCACTGCATATGAACGCACACACCTTTACTTCACATCTCAATATGCTCATCAGAGGCGGACAGAGTACACACAGCTTTATTATTACTTGGGTAAAAGTACAGATACCCCTTGCTAAATTTACTCAAGTACAAGTAAATGTATCTACTTGAGTAAAAGTACTTGTTTTTAAAAGTACTCGGGTATCAAGAGTACATTTACATTTATGGACAGAAACGTCCTACAGCTATGAAATGCTGAAACTATGAAAAATATTAATGTTAATACCTTGGAGAATGTAAAAGGAATTGATTTGTCATTTTCATCTTTTTACCATGTTGCTTTATTTAACATTTAAGAAAATTTCAGAAAATTCGGAAAATTGAAATAGTCTGGCGAGGTGGGGACTGGTTGGCACATTCCCAGGATGGACCGGCTGCGTCTTCATCCATTGTTTTGTCTCTTATCTAAATCTGACCATGGAGTTGACTTTGGCGGAAAGCTGAAAGTAATTGCTGATAGGCTGCCCCAATCAGTGGCGCCCGCACAATCCAATCACATTTGAGAGGGAAACAACAAATCCAAGGTTTCCGAGATTTTTAATTTTTAAATTTTTATTTTTTAGAAGTAGTAACGGGTATTCATGGTTATGGATAGAAATGTAGTGGAGTAAAGAGTACAATATTTCCCTCTCAAATGTACTCGAGTAAAGTCATGAGTACTCCCCAAAAATAAATGATACTCGAGTAAAGTACAGATCCCTCAAAATTGTACTGAAGTACTGTACTCGAGTAAATGTACTCCATTACTGTCCGGCTCTAATGCTCACACCACACAGTTCTGATGTAAAGCTAACTGTACACTACATTTACACACACACACACACGACAGTAATACCTGTTATATATATGTACTGTATATATATTCAGAGCCAACTGATCCATAAGAGACAGGCAGATTGCTGATTACAGACAAACAGAAACCATTGGATCACACGAAACTGCACTTCAATACTCTTACTAATAGGCAGAAAACAGAACTGAGAAGGACAGAGACTGAAATACATTCAGTCTGAATGAGGATTTGATGATTTAAGACAGTTTCTATTAGTCAAGATGAGCATTTTCATGAAGTGATTCATATAACACAAACTCATCTCTCTTCCTCTCGCTCTCTCACACACACCAAACTCAGCTTTTCACACACCACTGATTAAAATACCAAATTTCAGCTGTTGAAGGAAAATTTCCACATCTCACAATTCACTTCCTATTCCATAAAGCAGCATTTAAACCACCACTAAGCAGTGTCAAACCACATCTTAAACCATTACAAAACCAGCTCTCACTTGGATCACTTCGGCAAGGAAGTTGAACAGAAACGATCCACTGTAACATTGGATTTGACTGTCGCTCGAGCAATTAAAGAGACAGAATCCCTCAAAACACACACATTTACATTAAATATAACCTATAGATTGACACGTGTTGTTTGTTGTGATGTTATGATCTATTTAATCTGTGTTTAGAAAAGTGATCTTACTCGTGAAGCACAGGCAGACCTTTGGATGGACCGATCTGATCTTGTCTTCCTTGATTTGCCCGTTTAACTTTGGTCCGGAATGAGCAATTTATTCCAAAAAACCTTCATAAATACGCGCTTTCGGTCCCCACGAGCTGCTTTTTCCGCCGATCCATGCTCGTTTGTGGATGGGTTGATGTGTGATGTGATCTGGATGGTTTGATCTACTGCATTAATCTCGCAGGGTTCCTCATACTCTATGGTAATAATCACAAGGAACAGATCACTGCGCAATCGACGTAAACCCGCACTCGATCACGGCGCTGCGCTGCTCAGATTGCGCAACTCCCGTTCGGAATACGGATTTCTGAAACTCGTTTCCCGAAATGCCTTGTGTGTATTGGAGAGAGAGGTTCAATTCTTATTGGACCGCAAATGTTGTCGGCCAGAAACTGTTTCCTAGGAAACACACAATGTTATTCCTACAGGGGGCGCTCGGCGGCCCAGTTAACATGAAACCTCACGACGTTTTTGTTTTTTTATTTATTAAAAATATTTGTTTGATAAAACGATGTACTTTTAAATCTAACGATTTTTTTAAAAAATAGCATATGCCTATAAAAAGTATTATTTTCAATCCTCATTCTGCCAATCCAATGGTCCATTCTGATAAGCGCAAAGAAAAGTAACGGTTATCACGTGACAAGGCCTCGACATCATTTTACAAACAAAAACGAGATATTTTAATTGTCGTTGAATGTATTGTTAACAAACAGGATAATTAATATAAAGTACTTGAATATATATTAGATATTTACATATTTTAAAAAAGTTCATACTTTGTTCTCATCATAAATATGATGTGACAGCGTAAGTAGGCCTGCTGCCTATTCTGAGGTAACATTTACTATGAAACTCTTGTATAATTACCGATGATTAATAAAATATATGTAGATATTTCAGCACTATTGTTTTGATGGTGAATAGCGCCATCTAGCGGAAGACAGTACTGTTGACTGCAGCAGTGTAATAATCATTATCTATCAGAGGTTCCAAGTGCCCCATCTAGTGGTTAACAGTGGAAGTTCTAGGAAAATTATTTACTTTAGTATTTGTTGTTTCAAGCTGTTCTCGGAGCCAGGCAGCATTGATTTATGCATATAATAAATAAAAGTTATGGTTTATTTGCATATTGAAAGAATGAAAAAAACCCCCACACACAATGAATTTAAAGAGAGGCAGAATATTTTTAATGTCTACATTTAAATGTCTTTGGCCTAAATGAGTATTATTATATTATAACCATATACTTTATGTCAGCATTTATCAGAGAGAGAATAAATAATAGAGTCATTGAATAGTAACAGAATTTAGATTTATTTGCTGCAGTGATCGCTCTGTTAGCAGGACTTTGTACTAATCCAGATCTCGGTTGCGTGGGAAAAAAAGAAAATCCTGCAAACTTCATTCCCAGTTTCAGAAACAGTTTCAGTAGCGTTTCTCATGTATACATTCTTTTCAGTCTGTTCTCATAGCAGCATGTGAACTGATTTAATCCTGGTAATTCCATGTCATTTGAGCTTATCACATGAGCCAGGAAATATTACATATCCCAGGATTTCTTTTTGGGTTTGTCCCCCAAATATTTTTGCTTGGCTCTGTATTGTGGGTTTGTCCCCTCACACTTATTAATTTAGAAAAGTTTGCTTTGCACCCTAAAAGAACATTTAATGATTGTAAAAGGTAAGCAAATCCCCCAAATCAGTGTTGAAATGTTGATTCGCCCATGAATAAAATGTTGAAATGCTGTCTGGGTAGGAACTTTAAAAGTCATATTATTAATTATAATGTGTGCATTTTGTATTTTTTTTTATAACACATAAGTACTATCCCTTCTACTGCTGTCATAACCATCATGGCAAATTTTAGACAATAATAATAAAAAAACTGATTAAATATTTATATGTATGTATGCATGTAAAAAAATATGGTCCCACTTCATATTAAGTGGCTTTAAGTAGGCTACTGTGTACTTACATCGAAAAATAAGTACAATGTACTTATTGTGTGGATGTTGTATTGTGACACACTTTTGCTGCTATTGGGGACAGGAGTGCTGGTATGGGTTGGGGGGGCAACAATGTAATTACAAATGTAATTGCATTCATTAATTACTGCAGGTATTTTTAAAATATGAGTACAATGTAAAAACATGTATGTACACAATAAGTCAATTGTATCAAAGTATTAATTTTAATGTAAGTACATAGTACTTAAAGCCACTTATAGGCTATAAAATGGGACCATAAATATTTATTTTCTTATTAGGTCTTTATTCCAGGACAAATAGGCTACCTTATTTTTCAAGAATTAATCTAGTCAAAAGTGCACATAATTAAATAATTAGACATACTGGCCAATGGCCATATATCAAAAGGACCTGTCATCAAATTATAATAATTAAAATCACTCCCTTTTTTAGACGACCGTGTTCTCT